AAAAAATATTACTCAGCGCCCCCTGGAAATTAATTTTTTAAAGTTTTCATAGCAATTAAACAGAAAGATATATGTATTAATGTTTCTACCTTTTTCGTAAAATATAGTAAAGAAAGGTATAAATTAGAAACATTGAAGTTTGAAATTATGAAACTATTTATTGAACTCAGAATAGAAAGGTAATACAAAAAAAGTTAAAACAAATGCACCTGTGGCCATCACTGCCCCCCTGGATCACTGCAGCGCCCACCAGGGGGCGGTAGCGCCCACTTTGGGAATCACTGGGATAAATGGTGATGGATGGAGACATGACTTGGGGTGGTGAACACACAACACAGTGTACAGATGTGTTGTAGAATTCTGCACCCTGAAACCTGTATAATTTTGTTAACCAGTTTCACCCCAATAAATTCAATAAACAGGAAGAAAATCACAGTGATGCCAGAGATGACGATGGTGGGCCTTCACCATGTCTGGAATTCCCAGTGAGAGGGGCTGGGAGCCACCAGCATGGGGGCGCAAAGCATTAGTTCTCAGGGGAAACACTAGCTGAGCCAAGCATCTCTGAGTTACACTGTCACCACTGCGGTCTTTACCGGTCACACATGGTCTGACTCACGTTACAGATACACGCAGCGTGGGGAAGCAGGCGCAAGTCATTCCTCCTACTCAAGTCTCCTTCTGTCCCACAGTATGACTTTAAAGTTTCCTTCATAAACATGTCACACATTTATTCCTATGTGTTTTATTTTTTCTTCCATTATGTTTTCTGACTGCCCATTACTATTTTCTTATATAGAAAGGCTGCTCACATTACCGAATTCTCTTATCTGCACCAGCGCAATCAGGTGGCCCTCCAGGGACTTCACCACGTGACAGACACGGTATGAACAGTCGTGGCCTGCTCCTGACGGCAGCGCTTCTCCACGTGCACGATTTGCTTTTGGCCTGTGATATAAATAATTATGTTGAACAAGGGTCCTTCCATTTCTGTTATATTATCCATATGCTCTTGATTATTTCCATTGAACTATTAAGACAGAAACCTCGTTGCTGCTGCATCCATTCGTTCAAAACGTATGAAACTCTACCAAGAGCCATCTGTGCTCGATGCACTGAGGCTTCGGAGGTGAACCGGGAGCCCTGGACCTGCCCTCACGGCACTTCTGGCTGAGTGTGTGGACCTCAACTCAGGGCACTCAACAGAAAATTGTTCAACACAGTTCCCCATCTTCCCTGAGGACCTGGAAGGCAGGTAGGAACGAAAGGGGAGGTGTTAGCCCCATTCCCAGAGGGTGGGCTTGCCTGTGAAAGAGCAAGTGAGGGGAAAGCAGGCTGGAGAGGCGGGATCAGAAGCAAGTTACTCAAGTCGAGGGGATCACATGAGACCATGAATACTAGGAGGTGGGATCACTGTGGGCCATCTTAGAAGCTGCCTGTCACAGCCACCATGTTCCTTACTCTAATAATCCTTATATACAACACAACTACTTTTACGTCACAGGCCTGAATACCTGCTCATTCTCTTATCCAGACTAAGGTCATATAGAAAGTGGTATAAAAACACAAAAACAAGTGAACCAACCACCCTCTCTTTAAAATAAAACATATTTACTATTTGAACTGTTTATTACCACTACTTTCACTTGTCCTTGACCTGTTAACAATGACAGAGGAAGTAGTGCTATCAAACAATGTCCAAAAATGTGACCCTGTAGGATTGGGGGATTTAAGAAGAGGTCTGGGGCAGGAAGTCCGCATTAATGAGACAGTGATACTCCACAGGGGAACGGGCAGGAAGCTGGCCGGCGGTTGTGGGACTTCAGAGTGTGGCATTTTGAAATTCAATAATAGCTGACCAGCTATCTAAAATGATACACTTTGTTTAAAGTTTGAAAAAAAAATTTTTGGATCCCGAATGAGTCTGCTGCTAGAATTTGGGAATCCACAGTATGAAACCTGTAGCTCTTAACCAGGTTGGGTATACAGACTGTGTTGTGGACAAGAATGTATCTTTAGACTGACACATTATTTTTCACCAAATGGACATTTATTTTAAAAATCTCATCTAGGAAGATGCAGGGAAAATAGTTTTTCACTTCAAAACACGGTTTGCATCAAACCTTTATAAAGTACCACAACCTACCATGTTAAATATAAAAAGTTAGAAACTACTGAATTAAAAAGGGAGGAAAGCCATTTAAAAAAACAGCAGAACCCTAGCCGGTTTGGCTCAGTGGATAGAGCACTGGCCTGCAAACTGAAGGGTCCCAGGTTCGATTCCAGTCGAGGTCACATGCCTGGTTTCAGGCTTGATCCCTAGTAGGGGGCGTGCAGGAGGCAGCAATCAATGATTCTCATCATTGATGTTTCTCTCTCCCTCTCCCTTCCTCTCTGAAATCAATATTTTTTTAAAAATTAAAAGTAGTGATAACAAGTTTATATTTGTGAGAAACAGACCCATTTAATTCTTCCCAGAGATCTGTGTCCCATAAAGTATATGTATTGTATACATATAAAATCATCCCCACCTCAGAGTTTAATTGAAGACACAAAACAGATGCCCTTTTATCCAGTCTCATTTCTGGGCTAATTAAATCAGTGATGATGCACATTAATCATCACCGAGTTCTACAGAACTTTAGGTCTTGCCTGGTTGTGTGTTACTGAATATGTTAACCCAGGCAGGGCATGCTAATTTGCCATCTCAGGGTTGCTTTACAACCAGAGAGAATAAAACTTTTAAGAGCAGACATTTATCAGTTACATTTTCTCTAATTATTAGCTTCAGTAACAGTTTCTATTATCTGCAGCTGGCACTGTCAGAAAAACCAAGGTTAGGACCCGGGTTTGCGCATCTACACCAGGCATTCCCAGGGCAGCCTCTCCTGATGCTCAGCCCCACCCATGGCCAACTATCAACTCCCCGACCCGTCCCCAGGGGCCTCCTGGATACCTGCAGGCTGCAGCCACAGGGAGGCCTCCCCACCAAAAAGGGGTCCATTTCAGTAAAGCTGTTGGGGAACAGAGCAGTGATGGCGAACCTTTTGTGCTCGGCATGTCAGCATTTTGAAAAACCCTAACTTAACTCTGGTGCCGTGTCACATATAGAAATTTTTTGATATTTGCAACCATAGTAAAACAAAGACTTATATTTTTGATATTTATTTTATATATTTAAATGCCATTTAACAAAGAAAAATCAACCAAAAAAATGAGTTCGTGTGTCACCTCTGACACGCGTGTCATAGGTTCGCCATCACTGGAATAGAGGATGACAGTGTATATAGAGCATTGAGGACATTACTTATTACATAGGAAGCACTCAATAAACATTTACCAGTTTTATTATGAGGGTAAAAGACACAAAACCTAGGGTTTTAGCTGAATAGATGGATAGGGTGACATCTACTGAGATAAGGGAAGTTAGAGAACATGTTTGAGGCAGCGAGGGAACCCAAAGTTTGTGATGCTTACTCGATAACCAAGTTGAAATGTCCACAGTTGGAAACGGATGGGAAGGAAGAGAAAGCGGCTTCTAGGTGAGAAGCTAACGAAAGGAAAGCTTATTCTGTATGAGATGCTCTTACACATTAGATTACAGCCAATGGTCTAGTTGCGTTAGCAGCGATGACCAATTGTAACGAATCTTTGGTTCACATCCAACTACTCTTAAAACTCTGAGCATCATGTTTCTGAAACAGGAAGGCATAGAAAGAAATGCATATCCATAAAAGTACATCATCTATGAAAGGAGTCACAGTTCAAGTCTTTGCTTGTTTAACCCTTCTTTTTTACAACCTCCTGAGTATCACCTAAAAGGCAAAATGATGGTTACATAGAAATGGAAACATTACATTTTTATTTTTTTAAATATATTTTTATTGATTTCAGAGAATAAGGGAGAGGGAGAGAGAAACATCAATGATGAGAATCATTGATCAGCTACCTCCTGCATGCCTCCCACTGAGGATCGAGCCCACAACCCGGGTATGTGCCCAGACCAGGAATCAAACTGTGACCTCCTGGTTCAAAGGTTGATGCTCAACCACTGAACCACGCCAGCTAGGCAAAACATTACATTTTTAAAAAGTAATGCCAGTTTTAAAATTTTTGAGGGTGACTTATCAAATAAATGCACATTCAAACATGAAGAGATCTCACAATTGATGTACAACACCTAGAATTGGAGGACAGTATCAGTGAAACCAATAAGTACTTCACTTGTGAAAACTGTTTTCACAATTTGTGTTTCTAAGCACAAGAAAAAAATGAGGTGAAAAGAAGGAATCTGTTTTTCTATCTCAGGCTCACAGCCATTGGTTCTAAACTGCTCCTGGGTTCAGTTCACCTAGGCAGCTTTTCACCCATTCTGCGCTCTTGCTGTTCCATCAGTAACATCCCACAGTGGTCACCCCACCCACCCCACAAATGCTCACAAGCTGGGATTCTGTTGCTCCAAAGGGGAGGCTGTTCGCTGAGGCTCAGAAATTTTTATCAGGAGACTTACTGATAATGGTTGAGAAGCAGTCAAGCAGCATGTTCCTCCTGGGTGAAACCAGGTAACCACGTCACCTTCTCCGCCTCACTCCTTGCTCACGTTGTCACATTGGAAGCATTTTTCTGACCGCTCAGTGTCTCACTGCCCTGATCGCAGGGTAAGTGTCTGCAGAGGGCCCTGCTACACGGTTCTGGAGCACTTGTCCTGTCTGGCTTTACTTACAATAAATTCTATCTTAAAATACATCAACCTCTCCAATGTATTTGCATAAAATATGAAGACTTTTTCCACTGGGGGAAAACAATTTCATTAAAAGTAAGCTTCCCTCTTTACTGAGGGAAATTAGCTTACGGGGCAGGAGGAAAAGGGAAGGAATCTGTTAGGGGAAAGGAAACTGTGCAATGGAAGAGAAAAATCACAGAACCAACCCCGGAGCTTGGAAGTCATTAGAAGAAAGCGATGTTCTGATTTCTGTATGACATCATATAAAAAAGACAAGTTCAGTGAAAATTAACTTTATTTCTAGATATAGCACAATAAAATATATACCATCTTTATTCAGAATATCATAATCAATTAAAAAATAGAATTCTCTTCTCCCATCAAAAATTAACTACAATACTATAGGCTAGATACATGATATTTTAGTCACATCTTCAGTATTAGCTTCTCAAAACAACAAAAAATCTACTGTTTATACATCAAATATTTTTATACATCGAATTTATCATACAAAATATATACAAAAGCATAATTGTAGTGCAGAAAAATGAAGTTATCAAAATATAACTTAGGCCATTTACTTTACACAATCTGTGTTCTAGTTCAATTTTTCAAGAGCTTCACCAATTAGTCGAATAGCTACACTCTTGCCTTCATCAGTTTGAACAACAAGCAAAGCTTCAAATGTGCCCGCGGCCTTTGGTTTGAACTGCACGGGCATGTTGATGTAATGCTGGGCTCTGCAAAGAGAAAGGAAAATGTCAGCAGCTGATGCTGTGGCCACAAACCAATCACCTGCACAATGCCTGGCAGAGAACCTGGTCCAGTTACACTCAACCTAAATTTATTTCTCATTTCTCTGATGTTATTATTTAATACAAAACTGGCACAAAGAGAGAAATCTAACATCTGATTCAAAAAGTACTGCATACGTATTCCTGGCTAACAAAAGTAGGAAAGAGGAAATCAAAGTTCTGACCATTGTGTATGGAGCTTCCTATTCCATCTGCAAAAGCAGGTACCTATCTACCTAAGAAAGGATGAGAACACCCTACAAGCTACAGTTTACTCATTTGGTTAAACAGATCATAGAGTTAGTGCTTTACACACAGGTCTGTGGGGTTTTTTAAAAATATATTTTTAGCCCTAGCCGGTTTGGCTCAGTGGATAGAGCGTCGGCCTGCGGACTGAAGGGTCCCGGGTTTGATTCCGGTCAGGGGCATGTACCTTGGTTGCAGGCACAACCCCAGTAGGAGGTGTGCAGGAGGCAGCTGATCGATGTTTCTCTCTCATCGATGTTTCTGGCTCTCTATCTCTCTCCCTTCCTCTCTGTAAAAAATCAATAAAATATATTTTAAAAATAAAAATATATTTTAAAAATAAAAATATATTTTTATTGATTTCAGAGAGGAAGGGAGAGGAAGAGAAAGATAGAAACATCACTGATGAGAATCATTGATCAGCTGCCTCCTGGACGCCCCCTACTGGGGACTGAGCCCGCAACACGGGCATGTGCCCTTGACTGGAATCAAACCTGGGACCCTTCAGTCTGCAGGCCGACATTCTATCCACTGAACCAAACCAGCTAGGACCACAAGTTTTTCTTATTCTTATCAAAGTTATACTGAGCTGCTGCTATGAGAGTTGATGCTGGAATTTGTGACATTACATATTTATCCTAAGTTCCATAATGACAGTTAATATAGATGAAAACTTTCTGGAAACTCGTGTTCAGAATAATAAGGAGCTGTCACTAATAAAGTATAAAAGTACCTTATTTATCTTCAAAGCATAAACATTTAGAAATATTCTAAAGTAATATGTTCAAAGAGTACATGTTCAAAGCAAACAAAATGTAAGTTATGATACTATTTCAAATGCTATTGTATGTAAATTGTTCCAATTTTACTGAAATTAAAAATATTTTCCCATGTTTCTAAGTTCTTTTAGATGCTATTAACATGACTACGCAGCTAGGGCTGCACAGAAAAGCAGGGTTCTAATGTATGACAGCTTAAAATTTTCTAGCACTGGAATGATACGTCAACAAGTTCAACCCCTTTGCAGTTCCTAGCTCTATGTGTAAGCTCCGAGTACAGCACTGCTGTCTCAGGGACTCAGTAAAGACAGTCCAGAACGTTTGCTGAGTGGTTCGAGTTCTCTTAGAACAAAACATGTTTTTTAAATAGTCTCCTAATGCTAAAATGAAAGACCTTATAATAATTAAAGATGAAGATAAAATTACTCTTCAATGGTAAGTCCAACAGAACTTAAATAACAGGGACAAACAAGTTTGAGATTTCAACCTAAATGTACATCATGTAGAAAAAGAAAATTAGCAATGACAATTAGGAAATGAGGCCCTGATTTAAGAATAATATAGGGTATTTGAAGAAGACAACTGAAAAATACCATAATGAAAGTTTTCCCAATTAATCTGGAATACTAATTTTTGTCCAAATTAGTGAAAATTTAAATTGCTGATTCTCAGCACAGTAAAAATAATATTTGAAGCAGGAATCATTCTAAAGTTACTCACAAGATAATTAAGGTTGTATGTATGTAAGTGGCTGGCACAACACCGGGTAAAGGAACCATATGTTAAGTCCAAAACACAAGGTGAAGTCTGGGTAGCCACACTGTGAAGCACACCGGGAGTCAGCCATGAAGTGCTGTCCCTGCGGCTCATCCCCTTTCTTATTTAAGAAGATCCCTGTGTTCACTGCTCGCTGGTGCTGGGGATGAAGATGAGGGGCTGCCAGAGAGGGAGGCCTCACAAGTCCTCACTCCCATGAGAAATCTTGATGTCCTGACAACAAATTCCTGCACCAGGTAAGAACAGTTTGACTTATGATAAACTCACCTCAAAGAATATTTTGAGTGCTTGACGTAGAAAGGCTCTCTGGGACTTAAAAACTTCAGCTGCAATTTAATATGAAATACTTTATGAAGTTATGCAAGTTAGATATTTGAACATAAATTTACATTTGCAAATTTAAGTGGAGCCACAAAATTAGGTAAGACAATAAATGCTCGTAAAAACACATAAATAGAGTCCTGGCCGGTGTGTTAAATGGTTAGAGCACTGCCTGCACACTGAAGGGTCACGGATTCGATTCCCGGTCAAGGGCATGCACCCGGTTGCAGGTTTGATCCCTGGCCCGGAAAGAGATGTGTGTGGGTGGCAACCAATCCATGTGTCTCTCTCACAACGATGTTTCTCTCTCTTTTTTTCCTTTCTACTCTCTCTGAAAATCAATGGGAAAAAAATCCTTGGGTGGGGATTAACAACAAAAAAAAAAGAAAAAGAAAAACGCATAAAGAGGAATTTTAATATGCATTTACTCTAGTGTTATCCAGAAGTATGTTGTTCTGATGGTACAGAATGAAAAGAAAAAGTTTTTGTAAAAGTATGAAAGTAAGTGCTAATTTTTTAATTTTCAGATAAACTTTATCTGATAAAAGGTCATGAACTTTCTATGACTTTCTTTATAAATATGGTATTAGGCATTTTAAAAATTAACTCATTATTACAACTTAGCTATAATCTAAAACATAAACTTTTAATTATCAGGAAAATGTTTATCAAATAATTGGATAATTTCTTTTTCTAAAACCCACAATAGTATTTCCAACTTACCGCGTGTGTAATAAAAGAATTATTTCGCAAGTTGACTTTTAAAGACCTTGATTCCCCAACTCTAGTCGGTAGAAACTGATACACATCTTCTGGGGCATAAACTCCACGGTAAGTCAAGTCAAGGTGTCTGCTTTAGAAATAGGTTTAAAAGTCACCAATTTAAAATCAAGTTTTTTAAACAATTTAGACATACTATATTATGGAGTAGTGCTTTAATTTGTGTTTTCCCCTACAACGCACTTAGAAAGTAGTTTTGTAATGGCCATTTAACTAAGTTGTGTAAAGATAAAATGCTGAGAGCAGGCACTCTTACAGAGCTACTGGGATTAGTTGCTATTAAACACAGGATGGCAGCACCACCTCTAACCCTCTTTCTCACTAAAGTCTTGCTCTTCACTAGCTCAAACCCAGCTTACAAAAGGTGGCCCTGGTCTATTTCACTGACTTCTCACAGTGTAGTCCACTGACAATCTTTATTTTTACAAGAACACAGACTAAGTGCGACACAAGCTCTGGCCTCTCAGCAACATCTGATGATAATGACTTCCTCTTGCCTTGGCTTCCAGATTCCACGCTACTGACTTTCACTTCTCTGGCCCCTCGTTAGTCTGTGCAAGCTCATCTCTACTCCCTCCCCTCTAATGCCACGGTCCCACAAGGCGTGGCCATGAACATCTTGAACTGCTCACATGGACTCTCACTAGGCAATCCCATCTCAGGCAATCCAGTGACCTCACAGTTATGTGACTCCCAGATTTGGTTCTCAGCTCAGATGGAATCTCTGGGCAGCATATCCAATCACCTCATAATTACCTTCTTACTAGAGGCCCGGTGCACAAATTCGTGCATTGGTGGGTCCAGCTGGCCTGCCCGCCCCAATAGGGCCAATCGGCCAGGCTGGCCTGGGGGAGGGGCCGCGGGCAGTTGGCCGGCCGGCCCCGCCCCCTGGTCAAACTCCTGGTTGAACTCCTGGTCAGGAACTCCCAGTCGCGGGGACAGTTTGCATATTAGCCTTTTATTATATAGGAAGACTCCATAAATACAGAATAAACTTGTACCCTTTCTCCTCAAATTTAATCCTCCAGATATTTTCTGCTAGGGAACGGTATCTGGGAGCTGACCTTGACCCCCTTTTTTCTCACGCCTTTGTCTAATCCATCACTGAGTCCTTCAAACTTCCTTCCTATATATTTAAAAAGTGTCCATATCTCATCATTTTCCTTGACACTATCTGAGCCCTGGACTGTGTAAGAATACCCTCTGACTTGTTTCACTGCTTGTATTCTTTCCTCCTTCAAAGTAGTCCCATACTACAGCCAAAAGGATTTTTCTGTAAGTAGTTGAATCTCATCATGTCATTCAATGGTTTCTAGCAGCATTCCAGATAAACACCAGACACATGAGGCCGTGTGTGGTCTGCATGCACTCTGCCCACCTCCCTCTGGAGCCTCAGCTCATAGTGCACCCCTTCCTCTGTGCTCTAGGCCTGCGGGCTGCTTTTAGTTCCTCCAGGGCCAACAATCTCGCCACCTGGTCATTTACACAGTCCTCTTCACCCAGGACATTTCCACTCATTCTCAACGTAAAGGTCCCATTTTAGGGAGGTTATTCTCAGATATGTGTCCCCGTGTTTCCCATTTATTTCCTCCCAGTCCTTTCCACAGGTTGTAATCAAGCCTGTTAAGTGTGATTATTTGTGATGTGGCTCCTCCTCCAGAAGGTGAAGTCTGTGGAGGCAAGAGCTAGGGCAGTTCTGCTCACTGTCTTATCTCCACCACCCAGAATGCAGTGAGCACCCAGTCAATAAGCATGAGATGAGCGAATGAGTAAATAGCACAGAGGCTGTGATAAGAACACATTCTTTAAAGGTTTCTAATTTCTTACAAATTGCATTACTTACTCCTACTAGAAATAAACGACCCCATTTATAGTAAATTTAGCAGGTGTTTATCATATTCTTACAAGCATCTTCCTGCAGAACTAACTTAGACCTAAATATTAGTTAAGAATTATTAGAAATATTTTCATTAGGTAAAATACTTAAATATTATCATTCAAGTTATGTAAGCTGCTGGTATAAAATATACATCCTTAAAAGTTTTTAAGAATCTACTTTCATAGATTTTTTAAAATCTCTTTTGGAATGTAAAATGGTACAACCACTTTTGGCAGCTTATTTTAATGTTAAATATATGTTTATCATATGACCCAGCAATTCTATTCTTAGATACTTTTACCTCCACCAAAATGAAAAAATATGTCCACAAAAAACACATACAATGATGTTCACAGCACCTTCATTCATAATGGCCCCAAATTAGGAGCCACCCAAATGTCAACAGGAAAATGAATAAATAAATTATGACATGTTCATACAATGGAATACTAAACAAAAAGGACCAAACTACAGATATACACAACAACACGAACGAATCCCCCAAAAATGTATGTTAAGTGAAAGAAGCCAGATAAAGAGTGCATATGTATATGAAATTCAACCAACTAACCTATGGCAATAGATTAGAACAGGACAAACCTTGGGGTGAGGATGGAAGTTAACTGCAAAGGGACACAAAAGAACTTTCCACTGGACAAAAAATAGTCTCTATCGCAATTGGAGTGGTAGTAACACATGTAAGCTCATAGGTGAAGTCACTGAGCATTTTACTGGATCTAATGACACCTCTATAGAGTACTGGGGAACACTTGTAAGAATGACAAAACAACATACCCAGGTATGGGAGCAGGAGCTTCTGACACAGCTTGTCTTCGGGGCTTAACTAGATTATCTATTTTAATAAGAGTATTTGTAGAAACACATGAATTTCCAGGCTCATTTTCTGCTTTGACACTCTGTATAAAAATAAAGAAAGCACAGGGTGTGGGAGAAGAAATAATAGTCTAGGAAAATATAAGGACATTTATGTTTTTTAATTCTACTATTTCCTTCACAATTTTTAAAAAGGAGACTTAAGATTTTTAAAGTAGCTAAATCAAAAACCCTATACTTTACTTTTCACTGCTCAGATTCTTACACACACACACACACACACACACACACACACTCTCTTATCTAATCAAGTTAGAGATTTCATAAAGTCAAACCCAGACTTCAAACATGCCAATCAATAAAAATAAATGAGAGAACAGGATTGGGAACCAAGATGGCGGCATAAGGTGTAAACCTGTGCGTGCTGCCCCCACAACAACATTGAAACTACAACTATAAGACAAAACAGCTATCATCCAGAACCACGGGAAAGCTGGCCGAGTGGAAGTTCTACAACTGGAAGGAAAGAAAGGGCACTCGGGATCTGGGTGTGGCCGCGGTAGCCACCTCAGGAGCTGGTGAGCGGTGAGCGCAGCCCGGCCAAGCGCGGGGGATCGGAACTAGGGGACCACGTGGGGAAGCGGGCGGCGCAGCCGGCGCCCCAATAAAGTCTGTTTTGATGAGGAAAAAAAAAAAGAAGGAAAGAAAGAAGCGCATGAGACCGGGTAGGAGGCGCCAAGAACAGAGGTACAAAGGCACGCGCGAGGCGGGCTGCACCTGGATGCGCGGTTTTTTTCCATTAGAAGGAGATACAAGCTCTCGAATGCACTGAGCTAGTTTAAGGCGAGATTCTGGGGTCCCAGACTCCTACGGGGAGAAACTGGACTGCCTTGCAGCGGGTCGGAAAGCGAGGGTGGCTCTCTCGCAGAGCTGCTCGCAGGGATCATTGTTGCTGTGGGGGCGCGGGACTCGGGGACGCAGAGGGACTGGGGGACGCAGAGGCGTGGAGTCGCAGAGAAGGCTGATGACAGCCATTGCTGTTTGCTCCGCCCCGTGATTCTCTGAGACCCCACCCCACTCAATTTACATCCCCACCCAAGCTGTGCTCAGCTGCGCAAAGGAATCACCTGTGCTTTTGCAGCCTAATCTAACAAACTGCAGCTGGTCAGAGAGCTCCAAAACTTCCAAATCTCAAACAAAGAGGAGAAATCTGCTAATATCGCTGTAGCTCCTGCTGGGTGGACTCACACAGTGGTTGACTTGGAGATCCAGGAGCCAGGGTACCCCTGGTCAGACACCAGATTTCAACTCCTCACATCCATAAGGGACACACTCGAGAAGCAGATTCGGTGAGCACCAAAGCCCCACTGAAGCAAGTCCTGTCCCATAAGGGTGTCTCCAGCACAGCAGTTCTTCCACTGTAGACACAGCGGGTCCTCACAGTCAGCCAAAAATGCGGAGACAAAGAAACATGTCACAAATGAAAGAAATGGAGGAAAGCAAACTAATGGAGGACATAGAGTTCAAAACCACAGTTATAAGGTTACTCAAGAATCTTCTACGAACCTCCGAGGAACTTAGTGAGACCTTCAAGGATCTTAATGAGAATGCCAAAAAAAAAAAAATGAAAAAGGACCAGTCAGAAATTAAACATACACTGATTGAAATTAAAAATAATATACAGAGATCCAACAGCAGACTAGAGGATCCCAAGAATCAAGTCAAAGATTTGAAATATGAAGAAGCAAAAAACACCCATCCGGAAAAGCAAAACGAAAAAAGAATCCAAAAATATGAAGATAGTGTAAGGAGCCTCTCGGACAACTTCAAACGTACCAACATCCGAATTATGGGGGTGCCAGAAGAAGAGAGAGAGCAAGATATTGAAAACCTATTTGAAGAAATAATGACGGAAAACTTCCCCTACCTGGTGAAAGAAATAGACTTACAAGTCCAGGAAGCGCAGAGAACCCCAAACAAGAGGAATCCAAAGAGGACCACACCAAGACACATCATAATTAAAATGCCAAGTGCTAAACTCAAAGAGAGAATCTTAAAAGCAGCAAGAGAAAAACAGTTAGTTACCTACAAGGGCGTACCCATACGACTGTCAGCTGATTTCTCAACAGAAGGGAGAAATGCAGGCCAGAAGGGAGTGGCAAGAAATATTCAAAGTGATGAATAGCAAGAACCTACAACCAAGATTACTCTACCCAGCAAAGCTATCATGTAGAATTGAAGGTCAGATAAAGAGCTTCACAGACAAGAAAAAGCTAAAGGAGTTCACCACCACCAAACCAGCATTATATGAAATGCTGAAGGATATTCTTTAAGAAGAGGAAGAAGAAGAAAAAGGTAAAGATAAAAATTATGAACAACAAAGTGACAACAAATAAATACCTATCAACAAGTGAACCTAAAAATTAAGTCAGAATAACTGGTGAATATAATAGAATCAGGGGCATAGAAAGGGAGTGGACTGACAATTCTTGGGGGGAAGGGGGTGTGGGGGTGCAGGAAGAGATTGGACAAAAATCTTACACCTATGGATGAGGACAGTGGCCGGGGGTAAGGGCATGGGGTGGGGTGGGAACCAGGTGGAGGGGAGCTATGGGGGGAAAAAGAGGAACAACTGTAATAATCTGAACAATAAAGATGTATTAATTAAAAAAAAAGATAAATGAAAAAATTAAGATAAGGCTATATAGCAGAATTAATGAAATTAGAATAATATCAGGAAAATATTCTGCATTTTCAGGCCAGTTTTTCATGTCAGTTTCACTTATATTTTCAATATACACACACAATAATTTAATTAAATTTAGTGTAATACTCACTTGTCCAGAAAGTTGAAATCTCAAGGTATGTTTCATGTGAGGCTCTGTCAGGGGGTGACATTCAACATCCCAAAACTGGGCATAATCCCCTTTATCTCTGGGCAAAAATGTAACAGAGACCTATAAAACAATACATCCAGGAGAGAAGTTTAGACACTGTACCTTACACACATGTAGTTAAATTACCAACTCAAAGTGTTGGCATGAAAAATTAAAGAGAAAAAACTTGCATTGGCTAGTTTTTCCCCTAATTAAAAAAGAATTTGAACAATTGTGCTTTTAGTGGGCTTGTTACTGTACCAGATCCAAAATATATTTTTCTTTAAGGCTTTATGTAACATATTCCTAAAAATGTAAATTTTCTTAATTAAAAAAAAAAATCATCAAAAATTCTGTGTGAGTCCTGGGCATGTGCTGTACCTATTGGGCCAGCTGCATACATTTCCACCCATTCTGGGCCAGCAGCCTTGGTACATGGGTGTCCCTAATGAACTATGAGGAGTGACCCTGCCAGTAACATTGTGCCCCTCCCTTTTCCCCAGGCCCTCAATCTGCTAGTCCCAAAGCCTTGAACTAAATGCAAGTGGATACAGAAAGCCTTCTCCTGGCATGTCAGAGCAGCAGGACAAGGGCTGCCCAGTGTGTCCAAGCAGAGTTGAGCAGACCCTGCCTGCCCTGCCTAATGCTGAAGCCAGGGGGAGCTGGAGATGCCCCTAGGTGGGGGTTGTTGGAGGTACAAGTGGGGAGGGATCTTGCTGGGGCCGGCCTTGGTGTCCACCCTGCCCTGTGCAGTATTTATTGCTAAATTATTGTCTACCATACCACTAAGCATGGGCCAGGCCCTGGGAATTATTGCTGCACACAGTGTATGCTTATGCCATATAAGGTTTTCTTTATTTTGTATGTGATCAATAAATACCTTTTAAAGAGAAAAAATTCTAGAGATGTACATCTAATTCCAGACACACACTGTGTTCACTGCAATGCTTATACCCTCTGCTGGCCTAGTGGTAAAGGACTAAGCCCAGCACACAGTCACTGACTGGAGAGGAATGAAAGGACACAGAAAATGCAAAGGAAAGGTAGGTGCATAACAGGAGGTAGAAAAGACAAGCACCACTATGCTACATACTAACAGCTTTTCTTATGATTAACTTCAGAATATCCGTCGACCATTTACGCTGACCGTACAACTCAAAGTTATAGATACGAACTGTATGCATACAATCTGTAGAAAGCTCAATAATGAGAAAGTTGTAATATTTTAAAATGGTGTTTTATAAAGTTTACCAGCAACGAACTTTATCAAAGAATTCAGTGTGAAAAATACTGACTACTAGTCAGGGTGACAATGAATCAGTATTTGAGTCTGAACTTAACATTAAAACATTTACGTGACCCAATTTCTGTCACTATAGAACATAAGTGACAATGCGGCCAGCAAGCCTGAGAGCATGGAGGCAAAGGCAGAATACTGATCGAAATGAGGTCACGATTAGTGAGTTATACTGTTAAAGATGCTTTGGACATTTAGAAGATTAAGAAAGAAGACAACCATGTCCTAAATGATGAAAATATACAAACTATCAGGAACTACAGGGGGGCAGTACCATGAATTAGACAAATCCTACTTACACCTCCTTCCAACACCAAAAAAATAAAGAGAGAAAACCTAATATTATTGCATGTCACACAGTGGGAACATAATGGGCACTTTAACATTCATTCGCTCAAAAAATTGTCTGATGCTTCAAAAAATTATTGTGTGCATCTTTTAAGAATTAGGTTGTAACTAATTTTTCCCTCTTCTGGAACACCATTATATACACCAATAATTGTGCTATTTGGTAATGCTTCCATAAATGGTCCCAGAATGATGTGCCTTGTTCCCCTGGCCCCACCTTAAATTAAGAAACCAGACCTAAAATTCATTGACAAATGTGATCTGACAAGATGATATGTGTTGCTCTGGGCCAGGATATACAGTATGAACACAACAAAAATCACGGAGGTGTATTGTGTGAAAAATTCCTGGGAGACAATCTAATTCTGTACCCTCCTTTTTCTTTTTTTACAGTTTTACTGAGATATAAATCCACATACCATACAATTCCCTGGTTTCAACAGGTTTTTAGTGTATCTCCAGAACTGTGTAACCATCACCACGAAGCTATTGTCTAAATTAGCGCTACTTGAAGTAGGTTCTAAGTACTAGCAGCCTGCAGCCATATGAAGTGCTTATATCGGAATGTACATCGATCCCACGACCAAGCATGGTATTTTGTTTTGCTGTTAGGGAGCAAGACTTTCTGCTGCAGGAAGCAATCCACTAACTTGTGTAAGCCTCTTCTCCTGTGGCGGCAGCCTGGCTGTGAGCAGCACTGGTCTAGGTGAAGCAAACGGCTCTGCTGGAAACACAGGAGACACTCCTGGCCAACACTAGCTGGCTGTAAAACCATGTCAACACTCACCTTTTGTGTGCCATGGCTTTCCATTATTCCCGAAATAGGAGAACATCTGAATGCTGCATAAGTAGCTCTAAAAACATCTCCACTTTCATCGACTGCCTACAAAGTAATCATTTAAACAAGCACATGAAAAAAAATGTAAGAAAGGCCACGGTGTTCTAAACAACACACACGACAACACTCAATTCCAGCATGGCCCACCGGCAGAGATTACTTGCAGTATACAGTAGGCTAACACTTGGTGGCAAAGAGCATTCAATTCTGCCTCCTGCACTAGCTCCCACTGGTGGCAAACACACAATGGTACGCAGAACCTGGAGAGAAAAGTGTGCGTGCACGAGCACACACACTCTGTTCCATTCTATAACAAAATTTTTTCTATTTTTCAAACTAAAGTTATTTCAGATAAAAATCAGGGCTGTAGGAGATAGCATTAAATGGAGCAAGTACATTTTTCATATACATTCTCTAATTTGACTCTCAAAACCACCTTGCAAAAAAGACAGGGGCAGGTATTAGCCCAACCTGTAGAGAAAATCAAGTAAACAAATTAGGAACAGAAAGCCAATAATCTCAACCTATATTCATAATTCAACCTTTGAAACACCCTCCCTAAAGTTCAAACAGTAAAACAAGTATAACAGCAGCAATGATTACTGACCTTGACATAAGGTGGAGCTAAAGATGACAGATACCACTTTACTTCTGTGTTACCATGATTCTGAAGTTCCAGATAATTTTCTAAAAGGAACACATGTACAACAACTCAGTCTCTTGGAGAGGTAAGTAAATAGGCAGATTATTGTGATAATTACTATGGCTGCCTCATCACAGAGAAAAATATAATCATTAGATCCCTAGAGAAGCCCTACAGGAACTACAGTACTTTCTAACAAAATCATGTTTGACAATATCTTAACTTGGATTTAATCAAAGTGCAATGCCAAGCTACTGAAAGGCTTAATTTTAAGCAAGAGAGCAATAAAGTGATTTCCATGATTAAGAAATGACTGGCTGCAGTGGAGGAGAGACGGCAAGGGGTCAGAGTGAAAGAAGGAGCCCTGGTCAGCTGTCACTGCAGCATGTGGTGGAGATGATGCATGAGTAACTTGAACTGCAGCAACGAGAGGAAAAGCAGTGAGCATATAAGGGATTTATTTTGAAGACAGACTGTAAAGGACTAGCTCATGGACTGGATAGGAGGGAGGGAAGGAAAGGAAAGGAGAGCAGCTTCCACCCGGCCGGCATGGCTCAGTGATTGAGCGTCAACCTATGAATCAGGAGGTCAGGGTTCGATTCCCAGTGGGGCGCATGCCTGGGTTACAGGCTCAATCCCCACTGTGGGACATGCGAGAGGCAGCCGATCAATGATTCTCTCATCATTGATGTTTCTATCTCTCTCTCCCTTCATCTCTGAAATCAATAAAAATATTTTTTTTAAAAAAGAAAGGAGCTGTTAAATACTGTTAAGAGATGTGAAGGACACATACTAAGGAGGGCTGGGAAAGAGCCTAGTGTTGTTGATATGAGAGTTGAGCTCATGAATCAGTCAGCATGTCATTTTCTCCAGCAATGTTCTGCTGCTAAGGTATGAACATGGAGTAGGTAAACAATTGGTTTTAACATGGGTTAGGATTTTGCCAGACAGGAATGTGGGGGGAGAGGGGCACAAGGAAGTTAAGAATGTGAAGCAGTAATTATAATAGACCACAGAATTCAAGGAGGGTTATCAGAGAAGCGGGATGTGAGTAGGGTGATGGAGAGTGGAAAGGTAGTAGGATCAGTAGCCTGGAGGTCTGAATGAGGTCAAACAACTGCTGTAATTCCTAGAGTAAGTGAGCTGGAAAGACAGGAGCGTGATGTTCAGGAAGTGACAAGCTTGAAACTGAGAGAGAAAATATGGCATAGCTATTGGTGATGACAAAATCTAAGAGGGGACTGAAAGTAGGAAACTGAGCTTAAGTGGAAGACAAAATCAATGAAAGAGACCAGGAGCTAGAGGGCTAAGTGACAGATGGTCCCAAATTCTTTCTAATAGGTCCCACATATAATCCTAGTCCTTCAAACTGAAGAGAGAAAGAAAGAGAGAGAGAGAGGCACAGACACACACACACACTGACTCTCAAAGTGACATCAGTGACAGAGCAAGGCTCTTCCCACTTTCCTCTCTTCTTCAGCTAACTTATTTGCAACTAGAGGCCTAGTGCATGAATTTGTGCACCATTGGGGTCCCTTGGTCTGGCTTGTGGGATTGGGCCGAAACCAGCTCTCTGACATCACCCGAGGGGTCTCGGATTGTGAGAGGGCACAGGCCAGGCTGAGGGACCCCACCAGTGCAAGATCGGGGCTGGGGAGGGAAGCAGGAGGTTGGCCAGCTGGGGAGGGACCACAGGAGGGCTCCAGGGCATGTCCAGGCTTTCTCACTCAGTCCCGATCGGCCAGACCCCAGCAGCAAACTATCCTACCAGTCGGAGCGTCTGCCCCCTGGTGATCAGTGCACGTAATAGCGAGCAGTTGGGCGGCCTTAGCATATCATTAGCATATTATTGATTGGTTGAACAGATAACCAGACAATTAGCATATTAGGCTTTTACTATATAGGATTCTAGTCAAAAATCTAGTGAGAGTTGGAAAAGGATGGTTCTGACCATATAAAATCAAATAAAGTCAGCATGTAGTTTTCTCCAGCAATGTAAGACTCTTGGAATACACAGATTTACTAAATGCCTTATAGTTACGATTTTTAAGCTCCCCCAAATCCATCTCATCATTGAAATGATTTCCAATAATTACGTGATTTTGTCCTGAAGGGGGTAAAATTTTGTACCTATCACTAACATATGGTTAACTAAGAGTACTACACGCACTCAATATGTCAGTAGACATTTGAATTAAATAATCTTGTAATACCATACCTGAAGTTTCACCAGGTTCTGTTGTAGGAAAAGTAACAGTCTTATTTCTTATCTCAACTTTTGTGGAAGGTGGCTTTGTCATTGGTTTTACAAGATGTCTAGTTAAAGGCTCAGTAACTGGAAAAGGGATTCCCAATGGGTTGGAGGCCAAACGAGTGAGAAGTTCTGCTTGAGTCAGGTCTTCTCGAATTTGAACTTTCACAATTTTCTGAAATGAGCCAAATAAAGGGATAAGACACAAATGTAGCTGCAACTTTTTAAAAATATATATATTTTATTGAATTTTTACAGAGAGGAAGGGAGAGGGATAGAGAGTTAGAAACATCGATGAGAGAGAAACATCGATCAGCTGTGTCCTGCACACTCCCCACTGGGATGTGCCCACAACAAGATACATGCCCTTGACCGGAATTGAACCTGGGACCCTTGAGTCCACAGGCCGACGCTCTATCCACTGAGCCAAACTGGTCAGGGCAATAGCTGCAACTTTTAAAGAAACAACTCTTATTTTTAAGTCATGGTAGAGAAAAGTAGTGCCATACGAAATACTTGATGAATTTATAAATTAAAATTTATTCAGATCAAAATAAATCTTTGACATTATCCCCTGTCCCTGATCTCCCCATTTTTCAAAGCAAATTTTATAAACTAATAATGGCTTCTAGGCCCCACTCTCCATTCCTGCCCCCACCCAGGGAAATCATTCAGATCACTCATGGAAAATCTCTGCACTAAACACTCTATTGAATAAATCTGGTTGGGCTGAAAGAGCAGACACCTTCATATCACTTCTGAAATGTAAGTGCTAATAAGAATTACAACACTTAAGATACAACACAAGTTAAGAGAAATGCTGCTCAAAAAAAAAAACAAACCAAAAACGTTAACAAGTACCTTCTGTCCATTGTCACAGTGAATATAGATCAAACCACTCCATGGGAACATTGATTGTTTTGTGGATGAGGAGGAATTGGGGCTCACAAGAATCTGTAGCTTACTCCTTAAGAAAAGAATGTCATAATGAAAACCAAGAATATCCTACACTTTAATAGCAAGAACAACAAGAGTTATAAATACTATCCTATCAATAACCAACTATTTCCTTATTGCTCAGAAAGAGCAGATAACAGAGGTGAGCTCCCATGCACATCTGATTTTGCATCAGCTCCAACTCTGTGACTAACAAAAAGTTAGGTAGCATGAAACCCTGAACCTAAAGGCAAACTCCCATGAAAACAGACCATACCATAGAAATACCATTTAAAAAGCAATTCAAAATTAAAATATCTAGAGAAAAGAACATATCTACAGCAAAAAATCAATACGACAAAGCTTTAAGCCACTTGCGAATAAAGAATAATACTGTCACAATACAAAGGAAATGTAATGTAGGTGGGGAGAAAACTGAAAGGGAGAAGACAAAAAAGGAATGAAAACAGATTGTTTCTCCCCTCCCCACCCCCCATTACTAAAATTTCCTGTGTTCATTGTTCTCTTCAAGAGCTATGGGATGTCAAAGAACAAATATGGACAATACAGCCAGATCTGTGACTTAAACAAATCCCCAGTTACAAAAGCTACTTTGGTACAGGTCAAAAATGGCAGAGAAAGATTATATCCACTGCTAACAGCTAAACACCTGGGACAATGGAAAAAGTTGTTTGTGAACAACCTGTCCTCATTTCTCTAAATTTTCAACCATTAATTAGTAAATGTTTAGTTGACTGCTTTGGTCCGAGGAATATTTCTCTGGAGTGTCCCTAACCATACCTCACCTCAGGTCTTAGTCAAGTAAATGCATACTCCATCATTTTGCAAAGTAAATAAACTTCATGTTGTTGTTCCGCAAAGTTGCTATTGCTAAATATGAAGCAATTATCAGATGTGAAGGTTCTGTGCTGACCCAAACACGGTCCCTAAAAAGCTACGGAGCTGTGATAGGCTTTACCTTCTCCTACCAATAATTAAGCTGCAAAAAGAGGGTAGCTGCTTATCAACATCAGGCCCTCAAAGACTCCCTTCTATCTCAGAATAGTCTTTGCAGAAAATGGTAGGTTTGTGGGTCAGACATATTAAGTCAGAAAAAGCTTTGTCTATAAAATGCCCTTCAGACAAACCCAGCAGAATAAGTGAGTGAAATCCAAGGTAATGAAAGGCAGAACATCTGGGCTTTAGAGACCCTCACCCCTCATCATAGCCCCAACTGTATCTGTTGCTTTGTAATTTTGAAGCCAGAGTACTATGCCAGAAAACATTCTCACGTCTTCCCTCCGGAACTCTCTCCCACCTCTCACGTCTTTCTTGACCTTTAGGCTGTATACCATATTTGGCTACAGGCATGGTCTTTATTGCACTAAGTAGCATGAGTCTTGAACTCACTATAAGTCTCACAGAACCACACATGGCACACTGTACAGAGTCAGCACATGGCAAAATTCTACTAATAAATTAAAACAGCGTATTACTTGATCCTTAAAAGATTACCACGCCAGCATCTGAATAACACACCCAGAGAAAAGAGATGACATACTTACTCTGGCTCAATAAATCCATGTTGTGGTGTGACCGTAAGGCAATGTGCCGGCCAGTACAGTTCAAAGTTCAGTAACCTAACAGAATTATTTAAAATCTGGAAACGTCCAGTTTTTGCCAGGTCACCTATTATATCAGATAAATAAATGTTACTTTCATTTAGCATTAGTGAATAAGACCCAGTTAATAAACAGTAAAAATAAATCCTAAATAAGTACACTAGTAAACCAGCTTATTGTGCTTTCTCAATTGCCCAGTTACAGGAATTTCAAATTCCTGTTGAAGCAAGGCCATCTGTTTACTCTTGGAAACGACAAAGATACTGAACAAAGTTCAAATACTGAACAAAGGGAGAGAGAAAAGGAAATCTGGAAATTGTTATTACCACCTGGCCTTATCTTGGGCATATACATAGGTACCAGATTTGTTCCTACTTTACCAACTATACCAATGTTAAGGCTAAAAGAGGCCAAGTGCCAAATGGTTTCCTTGGGGCAGAAGATGTGGTGGAAGGAAGGGACCATGGGTCCTAAGTGGCTCTGCCGTACGGGAAATGGGAACTTGGACTGAGGGCCATGGCCTTTGTCAGGATGATGCTGTGGTTCAAGTCTGAACTGGGTCTCTAGTAGGTGAGAGGAAGACCTATGAAAGCCACTGGCTACATGTGCATAAAGTCCACATATATATCCTAGATGAGCCGGGGGTACAAAGTAAGTACAGCAGGGTTTCAGAGGGCATTCCTGTCATGTTTTCACTGACATACTCACACGCAGAAGGGGCTACCAAAATCAAGTGTTCGGGGTGGACAGTCCACATTTCTTCAGAGGATGATTTATCTTGAGGTGGGTGAACAGCTTGTGAAAGTGGAGAACTTTGAGGACCTTTAACTGGTAAAACATCCAAAGAAACATTGCCACCATGTTTCCCAAGACTGTCAGATTCACTACAGAAAAAAAGAAATAAAAATCAAAAGTGATAAAAAGCCAGATCATGTCATGTTTTTATATTAATTCTGCATAAATTTCAAAACATTTAGATAAAACTGAAAGTGCGTTACATACTGTGGATTTTTCAGGGAATTAAAATCCTTCATATTGTGTATACTTAAAGTAATGTATAAAAAATACAGAATAGGTCAAATACTATTATACTAATTTTTACTAAGATCACTCAATGATTTAATTTCTTTCCTGCTTTGACTTCTGCATGCCATCTAAGGTCTCTTACAAGGATTTACTAGAAAATTAACCAATATTAAGAATTTTTTTAAAAAAATTAAACTCTTAATGTATCTCTGTTTTCATGATGCTAACACCAAACACTTTAAAATAAGAAAGTCTTTTGGGAAAAATGCCACAGTAAAAAATGCTAATAAAATTTAACAAGTTTTTAACTAAGTGTTGAAGCAGTGTTTTCAAATAAGCCTTAGATTACAAAAAAAGTAATTCAAAACAAATTTTGTAATCACAAAAGCACATGGATTAATTGAAGTTCAACTGTGCAGAATCCAAATTCTCCTACTCTACAGTGGAACATCTTTTTTTTCTTTCTTTTTCTTTTTAAAAATATATTTTTATTGATTTCAGAGAAGAAAGGAGAGGGAGAGAGAAATAGAAACATCAATGATGAGAGAGAATCATTGACTGGCTGCCTCCTGCACGCCCCTGACTGGGGATCGAGCCCACAACCCGGGCATGTGCCCTTGACCGGAATCGAACCTGGGACCTTTCAGTCCCCAGGCCGACACTCTATGCACTGAGCCAAACCAGCCAGGGCAATAGTGGAACATCTTTAAGTTGACACTCAGCACAAAGAAATCCGCTTTACCCTTGCCCATTGCCCTCTCACCCCCTCCTTTTCAAAGCAGGCCTCTACTGCCCCGGGGAAATGGAGGCACCTGCCAAATGTCAGGAATAATTTTAAGAAATAAAAACGTTTATTCTTGGCTTTTTAGCTTCCTAAGAACCAGTACCAGATAATAAGTGATTTTCAAGGTAATTTTTCACATATGTAACTATATTTAATTCGTTCTTTGACTCAATATCTTAGAAGAAAATTAACATTGTAAGTATAGGAGAAAGAAAGCAAGCTGGCTGAACTAGAGGCATCGGGTGATGAAGGTGAGTGCGTGTGTCAGCAGTGAACTTAGTGGCACTGGGACTTGCAGGGAACTCTCAGGCAAACACTGGGCCCAGGAGGCAGCCCATGTGATGAGAAGATTGATTAAAAACAGAAGGATTGAGTAAAATGTAAATATATTGAGGCTAATAGGGCCAGGATTTTCAGTGTTGGGAGAAAAAATATACAATTAGAGAAAGGAAAAAAGAAATACACTGTATTTTGTTAGATTAGAATTGGAGGTATCAGTATAGACTCATAGTTTTAACATATTAACAGACATGGATACATGTGGATTTATATATAAACTAGAGGCCCGGTGCACAAAAATTTGTGCACTCGGGGGGGTCCCTTAACCCGGCCTGTGCCCCCTCGCAGTCTGGGACCCCTTGGGGGATGTCCACCCTGGGGACCGGGCCTAAGCTGGCAGTCAGACATCCCTCTGGCAGCCCGGGAGCCCTCGGGGATGTCCACTTGCCAGCAAGGGAGCAGACCTAAGCTGCAGTTTGACATCCTTAGCGCTGCTGAGGAGATGGGAGAGGCTCTCGCCACCACCGCTGTGCTGGCAGCCGTCAGCCTGGCTTGTGGCTGAGCAGAGCTCCCCCTGTGGGAGCGCACTGACCACCAGGGGCAGCTCCTGCATTGAGCATCTGCCCCCAGGTGGTCAGTGTGTGTCATGGTGACCAGTCATTCCCAGTCTTTCTGCTGTTAGGGTCAATTTGCATATTACCCTTTTGTTATATAGGATAGAGGCCTGGTGCATGGGTGGGGGCTGGCTGGTTTGCCCTGAAGGGTGTCCCGGATCAGGGTGGGGGTCCCACTGGGGTGCCTGGCCAGCCTGGGTGAGGGGCTGAGGGCCGTTTTCAGGCTGGCCACACCCCCTTCAAGGTGGGGGTCCCCACTGGGGTGCCTGGCCAGCCTGGGTGAGGGGCTAATGGCTGTTTGCAGGCTGGCAAAGCCCCCCCAGCGGAAACCCTCACCCCATGGGTATGGCCAGCCTGGGTGAGGGGCTGGTGGCTGTTTGCAGGCTGGCCACAGCCCCTTCAGGGTGGGGGTACCCACTGGGGTGCTTGGCCAGCCTGGGTGAGAGGCTGAGGGCTGTTTGCAGGCTGGTCAAGCCCCCCAGTGGAAACCCTCACCCCATGGGGGTGTGGCCAGCCTGGGTGAGGGGCTGAGGGTCGTTTTCAGGCTGCCCACAGCTCCTTCAGGGTGGTGGGGTCCCGTTGGGGTGCCTGGCCAGCCTGGGTGAGGGGCTAATGGCCGTTTTCAGGCTGGCCACGCCCCCCAGGCGACCCAAGCTCCCAGCCTCTCCTTTCTTTCCCCCCCCACCTCCTGGCAGGCTGGAAGCAGGTATCTGGGATTTATTGATCTTCTTGGCCAGCATAGACGGGAAGCTTAGCTTCCTCCATCGCCAGGGGCAACCCAAGCCTCCTGCTTGCTCCAGCTCCTTGGCCACCGCCATCTTAGTTGGGTTAATTTGCATACTTGCTTTCTGATTGGCTGGTGGGCATGGCTTGTGGGTGTAGCAGAGTGATGGTTAATTTGCATGTTTCTCTCTTATTAATGTAGATGCTTTTGTTTTCTAGCTCTGTCTACTGAGGAGGCCTAGAAGTAGTGACATCTGAAAAGCAGTAGCACACCAACTACCCATATCCTGGTTTCAATTCCATTCTCTACTAAAAGGAACCAAGACTTCTAAGAGAAGTCCCAGCTATTCTAGGGCTTGGACAGGGTAAGTATAAGATGAGCCTAGACTATCCTGTTGTGCCACCGAATAAGGAAGTGCTCAAAGAATGCTGTGGGCACATCAAAAAGATCAAGAAGCCAAATTAAGAGACCAAATAATGACAATAAAGGATTAATACTGAACCCATGAGTCTGTCCTAATATTAGTGAATAAGTACATTAAAGAGGGAAAAATAAATCTCTTCCTCATAGTGAAAAAACAACTAATAAATGTAGGAAAATGAAATGAGGAAATCACTATTTGGTAAGTAAGATAGTAATACGTGATTCAGGCAACAATCATCAATAGGTGCTAAAAGTCTGATGAGGAACTAAGATAATTCATCATCTCCAGGTATTTCCCTACAAGATATTAAAAATAAAATAAAATAAAATAAAATAAAATAAAATAAAGAAACTTAGGGCTACTTGGTCATCATCCCTGCAACTTACCCTTAAATGGTTTAGAAAAAAGTTATGTATACATAAAGAACAATAAAGTAAATGTGTTAAATGTTAACAACTGGGGAATCTCAGCAAAGGTAATACATGGGAATTCCCTGAACGATTTTTTAACTTTTCCATAAATTTGAAATTACTCAACTGAAACCAAAAAAACAATGATGAAATAAACGTTTGAGACAAATAAACAAATTAATAAATGAAGTACAGGGAAAAGACCAGCTATACTATGAATCAAGTAATCTTGAAGTCTGTTGTGACAGATGTTTTGTTTGTTTTACCTTTTAAATTCTAGGTTAGCTTTGGAAGAAGACTGAAGAAATTCTCTGTTAGAAGTGGAATCTCTGAATTCTCCAATTACTGAAAGCATAATTTTACGCATGTTTCCATAAAAGAGTTGAACATCATTAGGCCGCTGGGGAAGATCATACACTGAAATAGAAATAATGTTTGAAATATATGAATCCACATAACCACACTACAAACACCAGGTAAATTTATATATATATTTACTAGCCACAAAATATTACTCTGTTAGGTTGGGAGTAGGTGACAACTTGATTTTTAATACTATTGATGAGCATGAAATATAGGCAGCTCAGCATCAATGATTAGCAGCACAGGCTCTGGCCTTAGATTTGAACTATAGCCTTGCCAATCATTAGCTCTGTAACCTTTGGCAACTTAACCTCTCTAAGACTAAGCTTTAGTCTCCTCATGTACAATATGGAATAACAAACTATCTCAGGGACTGTTGTGACCATTAAAATAAGAATTTTAAAAGATATATGTGGCATAAACGTTTATATAAAGCGAACTGTGGACCAGACACTGTTCTATTTCTTTTGTGTATATTAACCTACTTGGTTTTCACAACTCTTTGAGAAAGGCATTATCTCCACATCGAAGATGAGGAGGAATCTGAAGCACAAAGAGGTTAAGAGCACACAATTTATAAGTGGCAGTCTTGCAAATATTTAACTTAAGCAAATCTAGAAACCAGGCAATATTAATATCATTAAATATTATAGATTAATAAAATGGTGCTGGAGTTGAATATCTCTAGACTAGTCCACCTGAATTTATACAGACAAGAAATTTTATATAACGTGTTTGTAATCTACATATAAATTAGATTTTAAGAATTACATTTTTAAATGGAAATTTTAAAAGAACACAGTAAGTGTAAACTGAAATTTATAGTAACCAATATATCTGACTATAAAAGTTTAAATCAACTAAAAATGTCACTAATTACACATTTTACAAAAATGTGATTATAAATATTTGTAATAATATGCTTAAACAAATGTTATTCAAAATAATCATGTACAAAGTTCACTTACAGCACTCTCATAGGTGATCTACTATGCTAACACAAAACAAAGTGGGACTGATCCTCTCTTCATCCTGATGATAAATATACCATCTCAAGAAATCCAGTATTCTTTGAGGTAGAATATGACATTTCAAAGACCCCCCTAAGTCCCAACTCAACCCCATCTTAGAAGGGTGATCTTGGCATGTTACTTGTCTCTTGGTTGGGTTTATAAACACAACTCTTAATATTACACATTTGTTGAATTTTTGTAAATGAGGTTCCCTCTCCCTGGTTCTTCAAATTCCTCAAGAGTCACCTCACTCTACATGGAGTACCCCTTCCTGTGTGCTCTCCCAGATTCCTAAACACAGCTCTAGCATAGCACGTTCACCCTGCATCTTAATCATCTGTCTTTCCTCGAGCCTGTAAGCCCATAAAGGCCAAGCACTGCATCTTTTACCTCTATAGACTGGCACCCTGTACTCTCAAATACATGTCCATTCAATCAAAGAAATAAATGTTGCTGAATCATGAAACTGTGCCAAGCTCTGATTCACTTAATACTACCTACTTTCAGTCTTCACTGTTGTTGCAGTAAATGTTCCTATTCCAACTATACTGCACAGTTCAGTTTAACTCTCTTATTGGGATCTTTCTTAGGAGGAAGAAATAAGGAAGGTGAAGCTTAGGGGAGCTGAAGTGGCAGAGATAGGTCTTGAATTGAGTTTTAACTCCAAATCCAAGGTTCTTTCTATACACTGCCCCCTTAACACAATATTGACAAGGTCCACTTCAAATCTTTTCATTATTTCTAACCCCCACTTCTAGCTTTCCTATGAATAGATGTTCTAGACTCCTAATTACTGAAAAGATTACAGACTACTGTACATCCCCTCTACACAAGCATAAGTATCCTTTTCTTTTATCATTTCATATTTCAGAAGCAAAATATAGTTTATCATTTAAAAAACAAAAATGGGGATGGAGGAGGATAGTACCAACTGAAATTCTACCACCAGAACATAACCACTGTTAATATTTTGGTGTGTATAGTCCTGCAATTTTACCTATGTTACATAGCTATATATAAACACTAAATTATTTTTATGCCAAAATGAGATCTTATTATGCAAACTTTAAAAATAAATTTTCTCAATAAGAGCTTTCCATGTCATTAATACAGAATCACATCATTGTTTTAATAGTTTCAAAATATTATATTGCATAATTAAACAATCCACCACTCTTGGACATCTAAGTTATTTCTAACTTCTTGCTCTTATAAACAATACTAGAGGCCCAATGCACCGAGATTCGTGCAAGAATAGGCCTTCCTTTCCTGGCTGCCGGCACTGTCTTCGCTCCGGCCCGGAGCTGCCTTTCCGCCTTCGCTCCAGCCCGGAGCCACCTTCCACCTCTCGCCTTGTCACGTCAATTTGCATATTCCCTCCTTATTGGCTCTGGGCGCTGCCATCTTTATCGTGAAATGATGGTTAATTTGCATATAACTCTTTTATTAGATAGGATTGTGGTGAAAATCTGTACATTTTTACACAATTTGTATATATGAATACAAATCTTTTGTATCAGTAATAAACACCATTAAATCCTTCAGGTGTTTATATCAAACAGATCTAAACATCTAAGTTACAGTCACTTCACCACTTGTTTTGGATGCTGCCATGACATCATCCAAAATAGTACAGTAGGCACAAAAGCACAGAAATCTCAAAATGAGCCTAAGTTTGTAATCATTAAATCTTAAATAATAATTAATTTGAGTTTAATAATAACCACTTTCCTCCTCCTGCTTCAAAGTCTACCCACAGAATAGGTGCAATAGTACATTAATGACATCTAATACATACACTACATGGATGAGATGTTAGATACTATTATTAGTCTCATTTTACAGAGAACACTGAATCTCAGTGATGTAATATGTCCAAAGTAATATAGAAGAACTGTGGCTCAAACTCAGCCTAACACCATAATCAAACTAATACTCTTCCTCCTTATTACATCACTGGATCTAGATAATACTACAAATAACACAAAAGATTTAAGACATTGGAATTCTTACCTTCAGTTACTAGTAGCTCATCTTGAAACGTTTCAGCAAAATCAATGTTCTGAAGCACACTATTCTCTGGAAGTATCTCTTCTAGAATCCCTGGTTTATGCAACAGAGCTCTGCCAGGAGAGATTTTTATTCAAAAGTGGTTTTACATATGAAGTGACCTTATTTTATCAGTGTGTTTGGCAAATCCAACTAACTGCATGATACATTAGTACACAGACCTCATGTCTTAAATCCTAATGAGTAATTTTTTTAAAAGAAAATCTGTTTTGCAAGTTCTCTTAAAAGTTATAGTAGTACAACCATGAGTTTCCGTTAAATATTAACATCAGAACAAGAACTCCTAACGTAAAAGTACAAAGAAGCATAAGATTATTTTCAGGTCTTACATTTTCATTATTTGTGATGACTTGGTGACAGAAATTTGTCTCAGAAAAAAAAAAAAAGAATATGCCAAGAAATGACACAAATAAGACATTTAAATTAGCATGTAACTATGTTTTCCTGGCCTCTTCTAGAGAATCTTTAACGTATGAGAACTGATATGTAAATTTCTCTGTAATACCCAGATGTTCACAAACAAATCTCATTATTCTAAATCTGTGGCAAATTGAAGTTCTAAAACAATACCTTAAAAAAAAAAAAAAATAGCCCTAACCGGTTTGGCTCAGTGGATAGAGCATTGGCCTGCGGACTGAAGGGTCCCAGGTTCGATTCCGGTTAAGGGCATATACCTTGGTTGCAGGCACATCCCCAGTAGGAGGTGTGCAGGAGGCAGCTGATCGATGTTTCTCTCTCATCGATGTTTCTAACTCTATCCTTCTCCCTTCCTCTCTGTAAAAAATCAATAAAATATATGTATATAAAAAAAGAATCGATCAATGTATGCATAAATGGGTAGAACAATCTCTCTCTCTCTCAATAAATTAAAAATAAATAAATAGCCCTAGTTGGTTTGGCTCAGTGGGTAGAGCCTGTGGACTGAAGGGTCCCCAGTTCGATTCCAGCCAAGGGCATATCCCTGGGTTGCAGGCTTGATTCCCAGTGCGGGGCGTACAGGAGGCAGCCAGTTGGTGATTCTCTCTCAACATAGATGTTTCTATTTCTCTATCCCTCTCCCTTCCACTCTGAAATCAATAAAAATAAAATAAAATAAATAAATAAATAAATAAATAAATAAATAAATAAAACAATACCTTGACTTCTATAGTCCAGTGGAAAGAAAAAAAAGCTGGTAATCTAATTTCTCCAATGTCAGTTTCTATCTCTAAAATACTTAATTAAAAATACCAGGTTCAAAGTTGAGTTCTTCAAATTGGGTCTAACATCATATAGCAATTTATCACTATGCTCTCTCTTTTTAACCTTCCAATAATCTTCAACAGATTAAAAATAAAACAAAATTTTCTAAATTATGCCCCAGAATAAAACACAGCAGAGCACAAGGGTTGGAAGAAGAAAAGACAGTATATAGGCATATACCCCTTCCCTACTGGGTGTTAATGATTTCCTACTAACAGATGAAACATCATGAACTTCACACTTTTTTAATATTTAGTCTTCTAGTCTAGGAAACAAAATTTTATAAGAACTCTGAATTCAGCATACAAGAATGTTACCTATGTTAAATAATACCTAAACTTAAATACCTCAATCTGACATTTCAGCATATGTAAACTATATGTAAACTAGATGTACCAAATTTTCTAGAAGTGCACACTTTAAGTAGTTAGCCATATTAAACATCGCACACATTTCTAAAATTCCTTTCAAATAATTCACAACATTGTCAGAAATATTCCAAATAAGTCAGATGTATTTAAACAATATTGCGAATACATACGAGTTTCCTACAGGCATTTCTTCTTATCAGCTACACAAATTTTACCAAGTGAAACATGTTCTATAAATTCCAAATCCCAAACCATTATTTAAGTCCTCACTATTTCTACTGAATAGTCCCCATTAACATCCTAATATATAAAGAGCCTGGGTCTGTCATGACCTAACGTCCGGACGGATGACCAAACACCAGGCTAGGGTCCCGGCCGCCCACGGCAGGAGTCGGTCCTGGGTCCCGGTCGCCTGTGGTGCGGCAGCGGGAGGGAGCTGTGGGAACGGAGCCATGCTGCCATCAAACTGGCCTCTGGGTCCCTCCCACCACCCACAGGCTCCGGGGAACCAGAGCCATGCTGCCATTGGACTGGCCTCTTGGTCCCTCCCACCACCCACAGGCTCCGGGGAACCAGAGCCATGCTGCCATCGGACTGGCCTCTTGGTCCCTCCCCTCAGCCTGCAGGCTCTGGGAACCAGAGCCATGCTGCAATCTGGGAACCTTGGTCCCTCCTCCCGCCCGCAGGCCCAGGGAACCAGAGCCATGCTGCGATGGATCTGGACCCTACCCGAGGGGTCCCAGATTGTGAGAGCGTGCAGGCTAGGATGAGAGAACACCCCCAAGTGCATGAATTTTCATGTACCGGGCCTCTAGTCTAAGATAAGTAACCTACCTTCGATACTGCTGTCGTGAAATTTCATCTCCACCAAAGAAGTACACAGTTGACAATTCTGTTGTGGTTTTGTAATTGCTATCTCTCTCTGATGGATGATATATTATAGTAACATTCTGATGCCAAGAAAAAAAATTAAACCGAATATTAAATATTTTAGTAAGTTATTTCATTCTGAATAAACTCTCATGAGCCTAGTATCAATACAGACATGAATATATATGTACAGCATTTCCAAGAAGATAAGTACAGTAACACTCGATTCTGCAGACCTCAATTTAACATACTTCAGATTTAATAGACAAAATTTCCAGTCCATATGTTATATGTGAAACTTAACACCCTGTTAATTTGAGAAAGCTTTTAACCAAGATTTGCTTATAATTAATAGGTTATTTTTTGTCATTAATTATTTTTAACAAACAGGCCATATGTTGAAAAAAATACTTATTTCGCAGACATAAATAAACATTACATATCTACAATTATAGTCTACATATTTAAATCTAAGAGTCACCGCTCGTAAACAATGGTTGAAAGATTAGCATGTGATCACACCACAAGGCAAGGTAATTGGTTTCTACAGTGGTATGACTTTCTACAGCAGTTTTAACTCAGGCCTCCCATGCTCCCAGGTGTGATAAGCCACGCCCCAGGCATTTACATTTGTTTACTTGCAGTGACTGGTGAATGCACACATTTACTAGATCTATTCAGTATAAATTTAAAATTACAGTATGTATTACATAAAAAAACTTTTCTTGCCCTAACCAGTTTGGCTCAGTGGATAGAGCGTCAGCCTGCGGACTGAACGGTCCCAGGTTCGATTCCAGCCAAGGGCATGTACCTTGGTTGCGGGCACATCCCCAGTAGGGAGTGTGCAGGAGGCAGCTGATCGATGTTTCTCTCTCATCGATGTTTCTAACTCTCTATCCCTCTCCCTTCCTCTCTGTAAAAAAATCAATAAAATATATTTTAAAAAAAAACTTTTCTGTAAAATTAAACTATTCATACATACTTAATTTTAATTACACAGAAGTGTCTACATAAGTAAAAGCAGGGAAACTATTTTTAAAATATGCATTCAGAAAATCTACTTTATTACATAGTAGACTTTTGGCTTTAACAGATACCCCCATGCCCAAATTAGTCTATTATATTGAGGTTTTACTGTATTTCTATTCCTATATGTATTTCTTTTTTTTTTTTTTTTTTTTTTAGTTTTTAGCCATAAAATACACAACTATTAATTTAACCTAAAAGTGAGTTTATATTTTTAGTGCAAGACTTACTTCTTGTGTTTTTTCCTTGAGAACAAATTTATCTGGGAAAATCTTTAATACTTTAGGATCCAGGAAAACTCTTTTCTGAGAATCCTTAAAACCTATAGCTTTTACAAAAGCTGCCCGAGAACCAGTGTTACGAATAGAAAAAACAATTCTACTTTCTTTGCCAGGTATTAAGTCATTCACTGTTACCATGTAACTGTCAGATAATTTTTTAACGTCTTCCAAAATAAGATTACTTGTTCCTCCATATCCAGACAAAGGTATCTGTAAGTACAAAAAAATATATATTTATACATGTGTATGTGTGTGTGTGTGTTCAAAATTATTGTTATATAAGCAGAAAGCAGAAGATTAAATTATGATCAGAGAAGAAAATACATATACTAGAATTACTACAATTACAATTATTATTCTTTGTGTACTTTGGCTAGTAGTTGTCCCACTTCCAGTCCAGCATTATATTAAAGACTCTATCTTAAAAGGAAAACATATCACAGAGCTACAAAATTATTTTCTTTTTAATATACTAAGAATAATTATTTCATTGTTATAAAAGCCAAACTTAGATAATAAAGATTAGCATAGTATAGATATGCTTACTTAGAAGTGTTTAGAGTGAAACATATTGATGTTTGTAATTTACTTTGAAATGCATTTAAAAATTAGATGAATTTATGGATGGTTAAATATGTAATAAAAAATACAGCAAAACATTAATTATAGCATCTAAGTGGTAAAGTATATGGGTCTACTGTATAATTCTTTTAAGATTCCAGTATTCTGAATTTTATGTTTTTGGGGGAACCCTATTAGTTTTCAAACACTCAATGTAAGCATTCTTCCTGTATTTTCAAAGCCTAAGGAATTAGAAATAATTACGGAATAAAAGGTTAAGAAGAATGATTCAATAAAATGAAATCTAACTAATACTAATAAATCCAAAGATTCAACAGGAAAAACTATTATTGCTCTAGAGCAGGGTTTCTAACCTCAGCACTGTGGACATTTTGATTTGGATCACTCATTATGGTGAAAGCTGTCTTGTGCATTATAGGGTGTTCAGCTGCATCCCTGGCCTCTGGCCACCAGATGCCAGAAGCACCCCTTCCCATCCAAGTTATGACAACCAAAAATCTCTCCAGAAATTGCCAAATATTCCCTGGAGGGTAAAATGGCCTCTGGTTGAGCTTTGCTCCTCTACAGCACTAGAAAACGGAAAGCTAGTATGAACACCGAGAGCCTGTCCAACAGATAAACGTGCTCTCAAGTCAGGCAGCCTAAATGTGAATCTGTGCTGGACCACATAGCGGTAGGTAAGATGCATAGAAAGGCATCTCTAGGCCTCAGCTTCCATATGTGTAGGATGGAGACAGTGGTATGATCTCAGACAGTTGTTCTGAAGTAAAATGTGGTGATCCGTATAATGATCAAGAGTAGTGCCTGGTATATACTCAGACTGAAATCAACACATTTTTACTGTAGTCCCATCGTGCTGTATACAAAGCATATATAATTTCATTTGTTCCTCAGAACCAAACCAGGAAGTTGGGGTGACAATTGCATTTCGGATAAGGGAATGAAGCATGTGCAAGTTCAATGACTGCTTCAGGGTGAGTGAGAAGCACAGAAGCAGGGGTGTTCCTGATTCTTTTATCCCTGAGTTAAGTGCTCTTCCATCACTGTATCAGACTACTTATCTCCACAAAGATACAAAGTTAATGGTCTAAGTCTTCTTGTGAGATAAGAGCCATATTTTGTGCATTCAGGTCCCATTCAGCCCAACTCTCAGTGAAGACAGAAGGCATCTACCTCTGCTAGGACTCCCATTAGGATCCTAGTTTGTCTTAAGAGGACACCAAGCTGAACTTCTGTTTGATTGGCTGTCAAATAAAATGGTTCTGCCCTAAAGCACCAGAAATTCCTGCTTAGGAATAACCTCAAAATCTTGGCTAGTAGACCTGAAACTAATTAAAATATATTCAGGATAGTCTAAAAGATACACTGACTGGGCTCATGTGTAAATAGGTTAGTTCTAAAAATGATCATTTACATCTTTAAACAATTTTGCCCACCATAGCTCACAGGGCCAAGTGAAGAGCTCCGGAGAGAACATGTCTAGCTCCAGCATCAAATAAAGCTAGATATGTCCTAAGTATCTATTTTATTTTAAAAACTTAAAAAAAAAACCCACAACCTTTTAGGTATTATTATTATTCTTGTAATTTATCACATTCCCTCTTTGACACTAGGAAATGAACCAAATTTTAGCCCCAGCCCCACTGCCAAACAACTGTGCAGTTTTAAAGTGTGCACCTTAGTGAAGCTTGAGATTATTTTCCTTCCCTCAATGATTTATCACTTTTATCTCTTAGTGTTTTCAATGTACCTAAAGAAATGACTTGAAATCATTTTTAAAAATTACGATGGGAGGAAATAAAATATAGAAACTCCTGTCTTGCCCTATCCGGTTTGGCTCAGTGGATAGAGCATCGGCCTATGGACTCAAGGGCCCAGGTTCGATTCTGGTCAAGGGCATGTACCTTGGTTGCGGGCACATACCCAGTAGGGAGTGTGCAGGAGGTAGCTGATCGATGTTTCTCTCTCATCAATGTTTCTAACTCTCTATCTCTCTCCCTTCCTCTCTGTAAAAAAATCAATAAAATATATTTTTAAAAAATATATATCTTAAAAAAAAACTCCTGTCTTTTTATTCCTAGTATCTGAAACAGAGTCTAGCAAATGGTGTCAATAGATAATTTTAATCGAATGAATAAAATTTACTTGGGAAGACAGTATCAAACAGTTTGATCTGCATTTCCAAAAAAAATGTGTCCTTGGAAAGTTAGGTATAGCTCAAAATTCTCAAACTGAAATTAAACTTAAAAGCATTAGAAGAGATTGTTACTAAAAAGAATGCTATGGTGGCTGCTTTTGTAACCTGACAATTCTAAGTATACATAATTAATCCCTAATTCATAAATTTAGACAATATTTTGATTTGTAAAAAATCAGAGTATGTATAACTTACTATTAAATCAATAGTTATAACATGTTATAAATTCCACAGGAGGAAAAAGAAGCAATAAAAATGATCTTACCGTGAACTTAATACCTGGCTGTGATCGAATTCCAAGTTGTTTAATTTCTAGTTTAGCCAACATACAAGATAATCGAGTAGGTGTAAACAATACAAAGATGGTAATGTCTTCTTTTGGACGAATTTTGATCTCACAGTTACTAGTTAATCGCTCTTCTGAACCAAAAGTGTGCTGAAGCTACAATTTAAAAATAATCACTGCATAAAGCAAAGCAGTAGCAAAAATAAAACATACCATTGACACACACTCTTCAGACTACACACAATAGTCTGCATAGCTAAGTGTTCTGGATCAGACAGAACATAGAACAGAACCAAGCACTCTACACACCTGAAAGCAGTCCTGGTCTTGTCCTCTAATTAGCAGTCGCAAGTGTTGGGTTGTGGACGTAGAATTATTTCTTAAAGCTAGTTTCTGAAGCCTAAAAACAATTACACATTTTAAATGTGGTTTTCCTCCATGGGTATTGCTACAATTATAAAAAACAAAGCCAAAACCAATTCGTTTAGAGATGACTGATTGCACATGCCATTTTAGCAGCCTGGAATCCTCTCTCCAGTCCTAGAACTCTACATTTCTGAAAGCTTACACTGAAGACTCACCTTATCAGAGAAGCTTTTTGGTTTAATCTCTTTCCCATTATAGCTCCTTAGCTGCCCTTATTATTTATACTATATGTATAGGTATTATCTGTCTTATAATACATTAATAAATGAATATCCAGATTAACAAATTCATTAAGTCAATACCATGTTCGGCTCAAATACCACGCTTTCAAGTAAACAAGGGGTCCCTGGCAAACTGCCCAAGTTTTTCACTCTAAGAGGCTCATTTGCACAAAAGTCTTTTAAACAGTACATTGAATTAACCTTACTTTTAAAAAGTTACAATGCAAGTAGAATGGACATATGAATAACAGCTGGCTGACTGGAAGAAAATCCTTCAATCTTTGAAAGTACATGAATCCTCTTGTCGCTGGAGAATAAATACATGAGTAAATCTCTATTTTTCTCAAATTTTAAAGATTGGCAGTTAAATTATTTAAGCTGTGATCTATGCCTTATCCCCTCTGCGTTCAAAGGGAAGGCAGCTGAGCTTTATCTCAGAATAAAATCTAAGACCTTTGACTATCAGCAAACCCGAGAAAAGCCTTCCACACGTACATTGACTAGGAAAGACTTACCTGAAAAAAAAAATCATTAAAAAGTTTTAATTTTATTTACTTTTTTTGTTTTGAAAAAAAGTTATCATTTTCAAATAGCAGAGCTATTAAGGGGGGGTTCAGTGTCCAATTTTTAAAAGGAGCTGTATAAAAATCAAAGGGTTAACACCTTTATTATATAAAGATTGTACACAAATAAGAAAAAAATATTAAAATCCTAACCAACAAATAACTAAAGTATGTAAGCAGACTTATGCAAATCTAGAATGAGCGAATAAAATATGGAAAACTATAGAACTTTAGAAATCTAAAAATATCAAGTTGGAATGAAATATCAAGTTGGACCACTTTACCCACAGAAAATATAATTTTATTAATTATCATTCCTATTTGCAACTGAGGCAAAAACCCATTAACTCAATGAGAATATTGCCCCCAAAATTATTTATTAATTTTTCTCCATTCTTGGATGAAGAGCTCACTTCAGATCTCCCTTTTCCAATAAGCACATTCTTCTACAAGGCAAGTATCTCGCAGGAAGAGCACCCAGTAGGGCAGCAGCATCTCCCATCCATTTTTAGAAGTCCTCTCTTAGTAACTATTGAGACACAGCCTCTGTCTGCCTCCTGGAACACTTTATGGTGGAAAAGAAAATAAGATTATTTTCTAAGCAGAACTCAGCTGCAATATTTACAGAGGAGTAGCAGGAGCTATCTGTGATGGGAAAAATTATTGTTCTTTGCAGGACATCAAGACAGGGGCTGAGGAGAAATAAAGAAACGCAAATCTATAATTTAGCTAGGCGCTGCACTAAATACATCCATTTAATGCTTTGGAATTGTTACTTTCACAAAAGCCCACTTTTAGCCATCCATGTGGTATATCATCAACTAAGGTAGAGTTATTCTCACAGGATTGGCAAGATCCTCCAGGCTGAGTTAAGACCCTAACCAACTCCTGTAAATGGGGATACAAGAGGCTTTTTGGGTTAATTCCCTGCACTGGCATGTGACTTACTCATACATCTGTTAGATTAGAAGAACTCTGTGAATCTCCATGAGGAAATGAAGTCAAGTAACGGACAGCCTGAAGGCCCTTCACATAGGAAAAGGCTGAGGGAAAATGCTGCTGACAAGTCCAAAAGCGCATCAAAACAGCGCCTCTGCTTTCAACTTAACTAATGTAATTTCTGATTTTAAAAAGTATAGCACATGTTAATTTTGTTTTAGCTGAGGAGGTGAGATTTCAGGATGGTATGGCATCTGAGAAGCAGCTGAATTTTAAGCATAGCCATCTCTACCACATTAATTATTCATTATAAATTCTATCATAAAGTAGGAAATTCTGTCAGAAACACAAGGATGATGATGGCTCTTTTTTATTTATTTATTTATTTATTTATTTATTTATTTATTTATTTTTGATGATGGCTCTTAATGACTTTCTTCTGCCTTTGGCTTAATGGACAAGAGCAGCTGTAAGATAAGCTGTGATTGCTAGGGCAGACTGAAGCTAATTTTCCTCTTCTTTTTAACTTGGACAGTAATGGCTGAGCTGACCAGCTTCATTATTTTGGCCACCTTGCACAGCACAGACTTAAAGGTCTCAATCAACTATTTGTACAAGTACTAGAGCAACCGCAGGTTAATGTTTTGAGACAAATTTTGGCATTTAAACACTGTTCAGGTTCAACTGTACAGAATAGGAAAAACCTTCTCTATAGGCACATGTCCTTGTTCAGACCTTCCTTTCAACATCAGTGTCAATCCTGAATCCCTCTTAACTGGCTTCAAAAAATATATGGCACATATAACCAACAACACAGGAACTACTGAAGAGGGCATAGTACCTCATACCCACTGTCATTCAGGATTTTGAAAAGTCTGTAGCTGAGAGAAACCTTTACAGAGAGCTGCTTAAAGAACATGCAGTCTGCACATTCTTCCAGGTGCTTAAGGGATTTCTAAATCAAACCACCACATGCTCAGCACTCGGAGAATGCCTTCACTTGGGGGTTCAGGTGTGGCACGTCTAGTCACAGGGGGAGCATCCTGATGCAGTATTTACTGTGAAATTGTTTTTCCTTGAGATTCACTATATTATACAACTTTCTCTTTAAAAGGACCCTGGAAGAAACATCTCTCTAAAGTCTGCAGCAGGAATGGCTATGCTCTCTCACATAGTAACTGCTTTGCTCTTAACCTCTGAATACTGTGACGTCAGAAACAAGCCCAAGACTCACATTAAGGCAAGTGCACAAGGTCCCCATCGAGACCTCAAGGGCCACCTTTATGATGACTGCTTCAATTTCCCACAGAAGTAATTTCTCACTTAACTGTTTTTATGTTACTGTGTCCTTTGGAAAACTGCTTTTGGAACAAAACAAGTACAGATGTCTACATGAGTGATTAAACAGAGGTATAAACTCTATAAAGTAAGGAGGTTCAGCCCAGCCGGCGTGGCTCAGTGGTTGAGCATCGACCTATGAACCAGGAGGTCACAGTTTGATTTCTGGTCAGGGCACATGCCTGGGTTGTGGGTTCATCCCCAGTGGGGGGCATGCAGGAGGCAGCCAATCAATAATTCTCTCTCATCACTGATGTTTCTCTCTCTCTCTCTCCCTTCCTCTCTGAAATCAATAAAAATATATTTAAAGTAAGGAAGTTCAATTAGATCCTTTTTGCACTGACAAAACTATAATTTTAAAGAAGTAATTTGTTCACACCTTTAGTAGATTCAGCCAGAACTTTATCTCTCAGGTACCATAGAAATGTATAGGTAAAACATTTAGGATAAACACAAAAGTGTAAAATTACGAAAGAGTAAACATTTAGGTTTAATAATTACGTAGGTTATTAATTAGAAATTTTTACTGATATAAGGTTGGTAAAAAAATTTATCTATGTTGCTAAACTCAGGAAGGGGAAAATATTACTATACATACTACATGTTATATGCCAATTAATTTTATTACTCAGTTATCCATAATGTATAATCAAAATAAATATAAAAATAAAATTAGAGATATAATTCACATTAACCTATAAGAGAATATATCTATTCTATTAGAGACCCCTTATACCCTTCACTCTACAGTACAAAGCATTCACCAACTAATTTGTAAATTCCTTAAAAAGAATGTCTTCCTACCTTTTCATAGTGCTTTCCAGAGAAGAAACAAAGATACTCTTAATTGCCTACATTTGGAAATCAGCAAGGAATTCGCCAAAAAGCATAAGAAAATTGAAACCTATGTTTTTAGATTGCATTTAAAAACAGGTGGAAATTTAAATTAAAAATTTTGAATTCATGACAGGAAGATTAAGGACGATAAGAAAGCTTTATTCAATTCTAAAAATATTAACATGGTCATAACTAACACAGCGGGGAATCACACTGGGAGATAACAGCAAGATCGCAGCAGAGGCTGCTACATGCATACTTACTGTGTTCTGCCCAGGGGGACACCTCCCCAAGCCAAAAACTGCTTGTTGGATAAAATGGACGGAATGTCTGAGCAGCCAGATCCAAGTGCTAGAGGTTTATTTTCTGAGGAAACTACTTCACCTTTTAACACTACTTCATACTGAGGTCCAAATGGCTGCACAAATATTTTCAAGATCCTGACAAAGAAAACCAATTAAGTTAAATGTCCAGAATTCTTTTGGCAACTATTTCCTACATGTTTCCTTTGTCCATGAGACTGAGCTGGGTGCCGAGGATACAATGCCCTTCCCATCATTAGAGGTTATTTTATAGAGGAGACTACAGATAAGGACAGAGACGGTCACAATGCCATCTACTAGGTGGTCAAGGGGCTAACTAAATAGGGACACTACTAAATACTATTTACGAGGACTTTAGGAAGAGTTGAGGAAGCTTCTGAGATGAAAGAGTTAAGCCAGTGAAGTTGGGGGCAAGTGCTGCAGGCCACAGTAGCAGACTAGCCCTCTACGGCTTCAGTAACCCAGACAGGAGATAGGTCATGTGTCTCAGGACTACATGCTAAGTACTGCGCTAGGTTTATCAAGCAAGTTCAAATACTAAAAACAATGGTGTTATTCACTCATTTATGGCTTGGGTGCCAAAAAGTCGCAGGCACTGAGAAGGGGTGAAGAAAAGTATTTTAAACTAACAACAGACAAGGTCAACCAATGGTTTCCTTGGAAAGAGAAAAAAAAAGTTAATGAGAAACATCAAGACTAAAATTCTATTATTTACTTTTGTCAAAGTATACTTGGATATAGGACTTTTAGATTTCTAGTCAATAGGCTTAAAAGTTGTGTTTTTTTTTTGGTAAACAGAGGAAGAAACTCTAAGGTTAAATGAAAGAGGTAAGACAGAGCTATCATCTGATAGGTGAGGTAAAATGTGTATTCTATCATTCAGGCTGTGAACTGAAGCATATCTAAGTTAAGTGAGTAGGAACTTGAGAAGAGTAAAAACTTTTCATTATAAACAATTATGTATTACCTTTCCTCAGCGGTTTGGGGATCCTTTGGAGTAAATGAAACAATAACTTCGTGTTCTTCTCCAGGTTTAAGGAAGAGAGTCTCTGGAAACACTGAAAAGTGACTTCCTTGATCTGGGATCTAAATATTTATATCATTATAACTAAATGCCGATTTATACAAATATGGCTTTTACTCAGTTACTCTCTTTGTCTTATGTGTCTTTCTCATTTACTAAGACAGGTTATTTCTCCCTTCCTCCTCATCCATCACTGTCCCACCTTGTCTTATTATCTTGGAAAGGATATTTCCTTCTCCTTCATCTCCCATAGCAAACTTTATCTTCTACCCTATCCTTAATTCCTGGTCACTAAAACCCTACCCTCTTACTCAACCACATGATTCAGAAATTATGTCTATTTCTCCAATTCTACCTAGGGAAAGGAGAACACACATTTTTCAGGAACTAATCAAAAACTTGGTTCTTATATATGAAATATTATATAAAGTCCTTATCATCTACTTTATACTAGTGTAACACCCAGCATTTAAAGCATTTGCAGACTCTTCCATTTGATCCCACGGCACTCTGACAAGGAAGGTAGCACAGTCCCTTCAGTCTCACAGTCTGAGGAAATACTATGTCATAGCACTGACACAAATTCTTACCTTGATATCTAAGTAAACGTCAATATTCCCAGCATTTTTCAAGGGTAAGTGCTGTTTTGTTGAGGAAGCCACACTGGCAAACAAATGCATAGTCTAGAGGATGGGATAAAACAGGCATTGTAAAAAATTATCACAATTACAATTAGACCAACCTGAACATAAAATAATGGCAAAGAGTTTCGAGTACCTGTAAGTCCTTTGGAGCATGTATCCTAGCAATTCCTGTTCTGGCTCGAAGACCAACACTTTTAATGACTGGCGTAGGGTTTGGGCTATCAACTTCTATATCAACTCTTGCCAAGAATTCTTCTGCTGAGTCCAGAATCTCTATAAAAGTTCATTCTTTTAGTTCAGACACCAGAGTTATTTAATTTTAAATGCCATGAGTGGTCAAACATTATGCCCTCAGGGGTCACAAGAAATCTTAAGTAAGATACTATTTTAAAGAACAAAGAGAAATAAAAATAATTGGAGGAAGAAAAGGGAAAACATCCAATTGGTAGATGTGATCAAATCAATTAGCAGAAAAGATCCCAAAAAGTTTTCAGTTTACTTGAGTTAGCCACAGTTATAAGGATTTAACCCCAAAGACCATGATCTCTGCCCCATTTTTAAAACAACATAAAACATTTGACAAGTTACTCAAAGTATTCATATTTACTGATAAAGGAAATAAGCCTCAACTTTTTAATTTATTCAGGTACAGAGTAAAGGAATTCTGACAAAACATAAAAATGATACCTGAAGAAGTGATGTGTCTCTTTGGACTATGGAAAAGAACCCAAATTATAAAAAATTCAGGATCCTGTAAAATAAAATTTAAAAATTAAGTGAATACTGGCATTAAGATTAAAATCTTAATGAAAGAAAAGTAGTTTGGAAACTTAACTTTCCTTTTAATTCTAAAGCACCTAGCTTACCTGTCCATCGTAACTAGCGGGCATCATGTGATTGATCACAGAAGGAGCTGCCAGCTGAGCAATCACATCAGCATAAGGAGCAGCTCTCATCGAAGCACGGACGGGTTCCTTGGAAAACGTGAAGCAACGCCAGGCTATGGCATTCTGTGCAGAAGTAGAAGAATCATTTTCAATAAAGCCAAAGGTGGTAAACGTTAAACTTGTTGAAAGAATCTTTAACAAAAAAATTTACTTTTGAGGGCGGGCATGGACTATAAGGGGCCACTGGGAGAAAAAAGGGGACGTTTGTAATACTTTCAACAATAAAGATTTTTAAAAATTTACTTTCATAAAAGAAAAATTAACAAAGAATAATATTAGCAGTGTCTAGAATTCAAAATCAATGTGCTCTGTAAACCAGTTTCTTACTGTACGTTAGTACTTACAGCATTAATAATAAGTCTGATTGGCACGATGGCATGTGTCTTATTTATCAATTTTAATGGGAGAGCTTTCCAGCCACCATAAGTCAAGTCACCAAAATCAAGAATATCTTTCTTTTCTGTTTCTACCTAATTAAGAAAAAAAGGGACTAATTTATAAAAAGCAATGTATTAATAAATATCACAACGTATGTTCATATCACTGCCCTGTCAGCCACAAGAGTCAGCATTAAAGGTAAACTTACCTAAGTTTCCCCAGGCTATTTTACCATTGCTATTTCTTAAAAAATTAATGTTAAATTCTTTTTGTTAGTCTATTACTCAAATATTGTACAGAACAAAGCAACACTTAGCTGCTGTTACTTTGAGAAGTCTTAGATCTTAAGACAATCTAACACAAGAATAAACTCAAAATGGATAAAAGACTTAAATGTAAGCCATGAAACCAGAAAAATCCTAGAAGAAAACATAGGCAGTTAAGTCTCAGATATCTCTGGTAGCAATATTTTTGCCGATATATCTCCTAGAGCAAGGGAAACAAAGAAAAAATAAACTACATCAAACTAAAAAGCTTCTGCACAGCAAAAGAAACCATCAACAAAATGAAAAGGGAACCCACTGAATGGGAGAACATATTTGCCAATGATACATCTGATAAGGGGTTAATTTCCAAAATATATACAGAACTTATACAACTCAATACCAGGAAGACAAACAACCCAATTAAAAAATCGGTAAAGGACCTGAATAGATACTTTTACAAAGAGGATATACAGATGGCCGAAAGACACATGATAAACTGCTCAACATCACTAATCATCAGACAGATGTAAATTAAGCCACAATTAGATATCACCTCACTCCTGTCCGAATGACTATCATCAATAAAGCAACACACAACAAGTGCTGGTGAGAATGTGGAGAAAAGGGAACCCTTGTACACTGTTGGTGGGAATGCGGACTGGTACAGTATAAAGTTTTCTCAATTAAAAATGGAACTGACGCCCTGGCCGGTTTGGCTCAGTGGATGGAGCGTTGGCCTGCAGACTCGGGGGTCCCGGGTTCGATTCCGGCCAGGGGCATGTGCCTTGGCTGTGGGCACATCACCGGTCGAGGATGTGCGGGAGGCGGCTGATCGATGTTTCTCTCTCATCGATGTTTCTGGCTCTCTGTCCCTCTCCCTTCCTCTCTGTGGACTGGTACAGTATAAAGTTTTCTCAATTAAAAATGGAACTGACTTTTGACCCAGCGATCCCACTTTGGGGAATATATCCAAAGAAACCTAAAACATTAATTCGAAAGATTATATGTACCCCTATGTTCACTGCAGCATTATTTACAATAGCCAAGAACTGGAAATAGCCCAAGTGCCCATCAGTAGATAAGGAGATAAAAAACCTATGGTACATTTACACAGTGGAATACTACTTGGCCAGAAAAAGAAAGGAAATCTTACCTTTTGTCACAGCATGAAAGGACCTGGATATTATTATGCTACGCGAAATAACCCAGTCAGAGAAAGACAAATACCACATGATCTCACTAATAAAATGAACTGACAAAATAGAAACAGAGGAATGGAACATACTGATCACTATCAGATGGGAGGGAGTTTGGGGGGACCAGATGAAAAAAGATGAAGGGATTAAGAGGGGGAAAAAAAAGAAAAAGAAAAAGAAAAAAATATGTATAACTAAAAGATACAGAAAACAGTGTGGTGATAGCCAGAGGGAAAGGGAGTGGGAGTAGGTAGAGGTGGGCAAAGGGGCGAAAATGGGGATAGAAAGGGACTGTGCTTGGGGAGATGGGTGCATGAGCAGTGTACAAATGATGTTTTGTTGTACACTTGAAACCTGTACCCCAATAAATTCAATTTTAAAAAAAGCACCAGTGGAGCCCGGCCCGAAGTGCCTCAGGGGTTGAGTGTCAGCCTATGAACCAGGAGGTCATGGTTCGATTCCCGGTCAGCGCACATACATGGGTTGCAGGCTTAATCCCCAATGTGCAGGAGGCAGCTGATCAATGATTCTCTCTCCCTCTCCCTTCCTCTCTGAAATCAATAAAAACAAACAAACAAAACACCAGTGGTATTCTAGTGTGCAGCCAAAGTTGAGTGCCACTGTCCTAAAGAGGCATATAACACGGTAACTGCCCCATTATCCCAACTAGGCTAGACCTTATCTCTTTCACTTCTAGAAAATAGAGGACTACAGAAGAGAAATTTCTTCAGCTGGCAAATAGTCTTCAGGTACAGAAAAGAAAGAATAATATGAACATAGCACTTTCCTAAGTGAGTATCAAATTATAAAATGAATATAAGGTTTGAAAATAAGATTTAATGCTACACTTTGCTTTATAAATATCTGAGCAAATATATCCATGTTTCTGTAAAACAACAGAAATAATTTTAAATTTTGGAATAAGAAGGTATTAAGAACTAATGCTTAGCTGGAAGTGAACTTTGTGGTACATTTACTCACAAATTCATTTTTTTACTAAATATTACTTTTAAGGTTATATTGACTTCATTAAAAGATCCGCTTAGATCACAGGGGTCTCAGCAATAGCGGTGAGAATGACTCTGCTTGCCAAGGCTTCTGCTTGGACTACTGTCTCAGCATCCGCATCCGCTGTAAATGGCCAAGAAGCAACACTGAATATACATCTGAAAATCCCAGGATCGGATGGTATGAAAAGTACTTTTATCTCTTCTGTGGCATGAGGTCTTATGATGACTTTATTCTTGAAAACTAAACAAGGATATGCTAAAAGATCCACCTTAATAAAAAAAAACAAAGAGCCACATGGTTTGTTAAAAATGGCTTCACAATGAAAATCAAGAAGTAGAATCAACTAGTTTTAAGATCCTTTTCCCCAGTCACTTGTACTACCAAACCTAGACATATATTACCTCTTCAAAAATATCCAAGTCTTATAACTCATTATCTGTAGAGTACAATTAGTCAAACTCATGAAACCTTATGAAGATAGGTTGAATTCATGGCCCATAGTCTATTTTAAAGCAAACACAGTTTTTGATACCCACACTTTCCTTGAAAAGGAAACTGAAAATTGCAGTACTTCACAGCCCTGCACATGGTCCCCGGACCTAGTTTTTGGTACAATGCAGGATGGTTAGACTGATCTCTAATACTCCTTGTCACACCTCCAAGTCTATGATTGTGATTCGCTCCAAACCCTCCCTTCTCACTCACTGTAAATGGGGATCATCTTTTCTACCCCCACTTCCAGAGACAACACTGCTTCCTGAGAAGGCCTTCAATCTCACCACCCTCTATCCTCAACCCTTTCCTTCAACTACCTGCTTTTCCTCTAACCTCAGGATATGAAAGCAGAGGGTATAAGCTAGGAAAAAAGGAGAGTAGGGTAGAGACCGTCTTATTTTACCAGAAAAAGGCTATTACTAGGATGTAATAGGGGAGAGTAGACCACCAATGCTGGTCTGCAAGTAGCAGTTGCAAAATCAGGATATTACAGAACAGGTGCTGCTGTCCATATTTCCCACCCTCCCTACTCACTGATATGCAATCATAAGAGAAGATTTATATTCTAGAACTATGACAGCTGTTACTGATCATGTGAGAGATCCTCACTATGGGTTAATGTTAAAATTGTATTTCCAGGTATTTCAAAACATCATGTAAAAACATAATAAATTAGTCAAAAAGACTACTAAAGGTGTGGGCCCTAAGAGTAACTTGTTTTTTTGATAAATGACAGTAACTTATATTCAATCACATTTAACAAAACTAGAAACTCAAGAGCTTTCAGTGGTTTAAATAATAGCACTAAAAGGACATATACATAATTTCATAAATAAATAACAATGAAATATAATGATTAATAAATAAATAATAACTGGCAGAAAATGAGAAACACATTCAGATTTCACCTCTTACACCAGAAGTATTACAACAAAAGAGGGACCAAGAAAGATACCATTCCAATGATTTTGTACAAGGTATAAGAGGAGGGACATACTCCCAGTATAAAAGGACGTACTAGACAAAAAAGAAATCCAGCATTAATCATAATGCAATTGTTAAGTCAAAAGAGAAAGTTAATAAAAACTTACCTTTTCACCATTAACACTAACACTGAGAACTCCTATGCTGACCTGCAGCCAGTGGGTGGTTGGATTAAGTACACTAAGGTGGGTTTGTGAAGCAATATCAACACAGCAAGCATGAGGAAACTTCACTTCCTCAGGTACTCTTACATGCCCTGGGTAAAGATAAAGCACAGTCAAAAATGCAAGTTATGCCCTACCTGGTTTGGCTCAGTGGATAGAGCATCGGCCTGCAGACTAAAGGGTCCCAGGTTTGATTCCCACATAAGTAAGGGCACATGCCTGGGTTGCGGGTGTAACCCAGTAGGAGGTGTGCAGGAGGCAGCCAATCAGTGATTCTCTCTCATCATTAATGTTTCCATCTCTCTCTCCCTCTCCCTTCCTCTCTGAAATCAATAAAAATATGTATTTTAAAAAATGCAAGTTATAGTGAATACCTGATTAAATGCACAGCTAGTTAAATGGAAGTTTTATAGAAGACTACTTGTTTATACACAGAGGTATGGTATAAAGTGCTCCAGGTCTTCAGGCTCCTTAATATTCTCTAAGCCTCAGAATAGGTTGGCCAACAATTATTTCTTGCTGAATCCAGCCAAGGAATAAGAACAATTAAAACTGATCAAGCTCACAATTTAAAGCTAATCAACTCTCAGATGTTACTACCTATTACTAATCTCTTCTTCCCCCTTCCCCCCCCCCCCGCCCGCCCCAAATATAAGCCACTGCCTAACCTAGTAAGAAATGATAGAGGTTCTAACTTGGATTTTTAATACAACCAGTCTTTTCACCACCCTTACGCAGTTACTCTGGAATTTCCTTAAAGACAGCACTCCAGTGGCTGTGTGTACTAGGTCAGAAAAAGCACAGCACCCAGCTCTGCTTAGCAGAGTGACCGTCAACAAGAGAATCAGGGGCAGTTCAGCTACTACAGACAGAAGTGGAAGGGTGCCCTCTCTCACTACAGTAACCCTCCAGACTTAAAAGCTGGAAGGAGACTCACTCCTTCAGGGAGGTGACTCTAAACTGGACATTTCCTAGTTGAAAGACTAACAGAACACAAAGTGCAGAACACAACAGACAGGAAGACAAAGGTATTGGGAGTTTCATCTACATAAGTTTTCATATTTTTCTAAGGCCACTTCAGGGACCCTTGCCCAGAAATATTCCAAATTCCAGGACAAAGGAAAAAACTTATGAGAAACTCAGGCCCATAATTATCTCCTTGAAACAAAACTAGTTTTTATGGTGTCATTTGAGAAAACTTAATTTTAAGTAATAGCAAGCAACAACAGGCAATAACAGAAAAAGCATCTCACCAAATCCTGACATCATTCCTGAATCCCATGGTTCAATGCCATAATTTGCACCAACAGACTGCACAGGAAAAGATTTTGCTGTAGTTAGAAGATTCTGATGTGTGGTATTAGAATATGGGTTACAAATGGAAGAACTACCCATCAATCCAGAGGTGATATTTTGTCCTAGACAAATGTCCACAGCCACAGAGTTCTGAACATGCTCGCCTGTGACAGCAGGATAAGAACAGCTTCCTGAGAAGCCACAGACGGTGGTGCTGCCAGAATAGCACAGAGGCAAAGCAGCATTTCCAGCTGCAGGTAGTGTTCCCAAATACTGTTGGGCAAAGGGAGCTGTGGCTAAAGAATGTCGAGTCAACAGTGCAGGAACTGAGGTGGGCATGTTCTGCATGTCGAGCGCAGAGCCATAAACCACAGAGCTGGGAATAGAGGCACACTGGCTTCCAGAGGCCATCTGATGAGGAACCCGGCCACTCAACGCACTGTTGGTAGTTGACGTATCTTCTGAAGTTACTCTCTCACTTTCGTTCCCAGATGCCTGGAGTGTCAAAGGGAGGCGTGGCAATGCTGACGCAATCGGGTGCCGGAGACCTGACTTGCTCAGATGAGCCAGGCTGATCTGGTCCAATTCACTGGAGTTTGTAGTCAAACCGGTGGCAGTGGTTTCCGACAGATCTTCACTTTTGGAGGAAAGATCTTTACTAAATCTAAAGGTGGGTTTTACATCTTCAGGTTTGCTACTCAGAGAAGTAGTTTCAGTCATTTTTTCTGCATCTGACTTTTCCTGGATAATATGTGACAATGTTTCTCTTCCTCTACCTTGAAATGAATCTTTTTCTTTCAACTTTTCCACAGCCTGTTCCTCTGGTGGAATTGGACTTCCTCGAATAATTGTGGTGCTCAACTCACTGGTGATATCACTCTGAGAGACAAAAATTTTTTAGAAATAATCCATAGATTATTACAAATCCAAATAACATAATAAACAGACCTAAACAATGTTAACTCTGAAAAAAAGTCTGCTTACACACAAAAAAAATGTAGTTTGGCAGCTATGAAATGCAGGATTAAGTTTTTAAAAAGTTTGCATTCATTATTTTATAGAAATAATTATGAGGAGATTAAAGAGGAGGTATATACCAATTCTATTTCTGAAAAAATTTACATAAAGGACAAGAGACAACTAATTTTGTAAAATTTAAGGAATTTTTTCCTTCTAAACTGTACAATAAAAATTTAAGTAAATTAGTAACAAAGGAATGGGGGGGGGAGCAGTGAGCAAGCTTTCAAATTACATCAACATGGGGTTAAGAATCAAGACAAAACCAGTTCAAAGGCTCTCTCCCCCACCCACATTATTTGTCTACTAGAGGCCCGGCGCACAAAATTTGTGCATGGATAGGGTCCCTAGGCCTGGCCTGCGATCAGGGCCAATCTTCCTTGGCTGCCAGCAGCCGGCCCCACTCCCTGCCAGCGCCCTCTGTGTGTGGGGCAATTGGCGGGGCGATCAGGGCCCCAATGCTGCCCGCGTCCATCACCACCCACCCCCAGTTCCTCGTTCCCCATCAGGCAATCGGAGCCTGCCCACCAGGAGGAAGAACCAAGAGGTCAGCCAGCAGACCCCAATCAGGCCATCGGGGCCTGTGGGCAGCTCCTGCATTGAGCATCTGCCCCATGGTGGTCAGTGTATGTCATAGCTCACTGGTCGTTCTGCCGACCGGTAGATTTGCATATTACACTTTTATATATATAGATACTGCTGTCATATTTAAAAATGATAATTTTTATGAGCACCAAAGTCTTTTCAAATATCTAAGTTATGTGGTTCTGTTTTCTTAAGTATGAAGTAATAGCCCTAGTCAATGTTAATATTTCTTTATAATGCATCACCTTAGGGGTGACATCCACAACTGTTACACACAACTTAAGATGCACTTAACCTCGTTGATTATTTTTGGTACTTGGTCTGAAAATTTCTTCTGGAATAAAACTTTAGAAACAAAAACACTGATAAACAAATTATTTGCCAGTCATCCATCCATCCATCTATCACTTAATCAATCAATCAATAAAAATAACAAGAGCCTATATGTATTCAGTGATACGTTCCCAAGCCCTGTTCTCACATCACTGTCCCTCCTTACAGATGAAGAAACAGCTTGGGGAGATTGTATCCGTCTGAAAGTAGCAGAGAAGCCATCAGACTGCACAATTCAGCTCTTAACCACTATGCTAAGAACATAGAGACTCAACATATAAAAGCATCATCTAAAAGACAGCTTTCATGAACAACATAAACTGATGAACAAAAATAGATCCAGAGACATAGAAGCATCGAACAGACTGTTAAACCTCAGAGGGAAGGCAGGGGATGGGGGTAAGAGATCAACCAAAGATCTTGTATGCATGTATATAAGCATAACCAATGGACATAGACAGTAGGGGGGTGAGGGCATGTGCTGGAGGTGGGAGTGGCCGGGGAGAGGTCAATGGGGGTAAAAGGAGACATATGTAATACTTTAACAGTAAAGAATTTAAATTTAAAAAATAACAAATTTTTAAAAAAAGACAGCTTTCAGTGAAATGGTCCTCATCTTGCCCCTCTCAATGACTCCTCCATACTGCTACTGCAATGAGCTTTGAAAACATCAACACAGATCATGTCACTGTTCTGCTTAAGAACCTTCAAAATCACAAATTTTACAACTAAGATTCTTGGTTTGGCCTCTCCTCTTTGCCCCAAGTACATGATTCACTGTAGCCATTCCAAACTTCTCGGAGTCCCTCAAATGCTGTCTGTATTTACAATTACAGTGGGGCCTTGACTTACGAGTTTAATTCGTTCCGTGACGAAGCTCGTAACTCAAATTACCCGTATGTCAAATCAAAAGTGAACGAGTGAGACACGTGATGCTGGGCTGATGTTGTGGCGTTCACTGTGACGTTCGCTGCGCCAACTAGCGGTGGGATATCTGAAGCTGGCTCGTAACCCGAATTTTAGCTCGCAACTCAAAGCAAAAAATCAGCCGAGACGGCTCGTATCTCGAAAAACTCGTTAGTCGGGACACTCGTAAGTCAAGGCCCCACTGTACCTGCCTTCCCCCATTTGTTTGTCTGCTTCTTCCCTGCCTAAGTCCAAGTATCCCTGAAAAAGATGGCTTCAATACATTACTATCCCTCCTATCGACACCCTAGTCATACTTTTTGTTATCTCCTTCTGAATACCCAGAGCATAGATCCAGCACAGTGCATTTCACTACAGAGTGTGTCTTGCATGTATGTGTCTTCCACCAGACTGAGAGTGTTTTAAGGGCAGATACTAAAATATTTGTACCTCTAGTGCCTATCCAACATGAGAAATTGTTTGATTCTCCTCTCTTTCTCCCTCCCTCCCTCTTCCTTCCTTGTACCCCTGCTACCCCCCATTTTAAAGATAAAAATGGCAACAGAAAGTATACAGGCAGGAACCTCAATCTGTACCCTACATCAGTAACACTTTAGAGCCAGAAGTCTTACTAAAGAAATAATAAAAGTGCTGCCCACCTTGCAGTCCTCAAGGCCATGATCTGAGGCCATGGTGGGACAGGTGCTCTCTTGTTCAGACACGTAAGTGAGCCTACTCACACTAGCCTGTGGATACATCAACTGAGACAACTCACTCTCACAGGGGGGCTTCTGATGATGAGCTGCTGAGCCAAAAGATTCTGAAGCACACCTGAAAGAGAAAACACCTCGTGACTAGAGTGTCCATTCTGTTATTTAACATCATCTACACTAGCAAAAGCCAATCCTGTTTTGCCTACAATCTTATTAATCTTCAGACTCTGCAATAGACAGGGGTGGGCAAAAGTAGGTTTACAGTTGTAAGTACACAAAAGTTTATTCTTATAGGTTTACATTACGGGTTTCATCTTATATTTATTTTATTATAGCTGTAAATCTAATTTTGTTTATCCATGAATACACATATATTATATTTGATAAAGCAATAAATTTACTGTCAAAAATTATATATATACTAGAGGCCTGTCGCATGAAGAGATTCGTGCAATAGGCCTTCCTTCCCCTGGCTGCCGGTACCAGTTTTCCTGGCACCCGGGACCCAGGCCTTCGCTCTGGCCGCAGTGGAGAAGCAAAGCCTCTTCAGCCTTCAGTCTTCGCTGCTCCAGCCAGAGCCTTCCATCTTCACTCCGCACCTGCGTATGCAAATTAACCGCCATCTTTGTTGGGTTAATTTGCATACTCTCCTGATTGGCTGGTGAGCGTAGTGGAGGAACGATCAATTTACATGTTTGTCTATTATTAAGTAAGATACATACATATATCTATATATGTCCATAATTTTTGAATGTTAACTTATGCCTTTTCAAAAAATTAAACTTTAGAAAATTCCTATAACTTGAAGGTTAAGTTAGTTTATACCTACCCTGATAAACTTGTCATAAAATCTGTGAAATAAGTTTCTTATTCTAACTCTTGAAAAAGTATTTACCCATCTTACTAGTGTTAAAAATGCAAATCCTATATAATAAAACCCTAATATGCAAATCGAACAAACAGCAGAATGACTGGCAGAATGATTGGTCACTATGATGCACACTGACCAGCAGGGGGCAGATGCTCAACACAGGAGCTGCCTCCTGGTGGTTAGTGTGCTCCAACAGGGGGAGCGCCGCTCAGCCAGAAGCCAGGCTTATGGCTGGCGAGCACAGTGGTGGTGGCGGGAACCTCTCCCACCTCCACTGCAGGCAGGTGGTAAGGAGCAAGGGGCCCCAAACTGCGAGAGCCCCAGACTGCGAGAGGGATGTCTGACCACTGGCTTAGACCTGATCCCAGGGTGACTGGGCCTAAGACGGCAGGCAGACATCCTCCGAGGTGTCCCAGACCGCGAGAGGGCACAGGCCAGGCTGAGGGCCCTGCCCCCAGTGCACAAATTTCACCAGGCCCCTAGTGAATACTATAAGAGAAAAAAAATCCAAAATTAATGCTATTTAAAATGCTGATAAGCAAACAGTGAGATCAACACTCTCATCACACACTGAAGATAAGGGTGCAAGTCTTTAAGACCCTTCTAGAAATAATTTGCTAATACAGAGAGCCTTCAATTATACTTACTCCCAACCTGGTAATTTCATTTCTAGATATCTATCCTAAGGAAATCAGTGAAAACAGAGAAAAAATTTTATGAGCAAATTTGTTCATCTCAATATCACTCTAATGGCAAAAACAATGTAGTAAGTATCCACCAGGAGCATGTAAACCACAACAGATTCATTACACAATCTGTAACATTACTAATTTTCTTTTAAATAAGGGAATTATTATAAGTGGAAAAAACAAGAATATAGCAAATTTGCACAAAAAATGGCTTGAATGAAATTGACAAAATATTTACAATGGTTACCTTTGAGCGATGAATCTATAATTAATTTTCTTTTATGTACTTTTTTCTTATATTGAGCATATATTTTTATTATTTAAAGAAAAAAGGTGCCGAAACCGGTTTGGCTCAGTGGATAGAGCGTCGGCCTGCGGACTGAGGGGTCCCGGGTTCGATTCCGGTCAAGGGCATGTACCTGGGTTGCGGGCACATCCCCAGTAGGAGATGTGCAGGAGGCAGCTGATCGATGTTTCTCTCTCATCGATGTTTCTAGCTCTCTGTTTCTCTCCCTTCCTCTCTGTAAAAAAGCAACAAAATATATTTAAAAAAAAAAAAAAGAAAAAGAAAAAAGGTAAGCACCTACCCTGATAAACTCGTTCCAGAAACTTCACTAGGAGAAGAATGACTCAGTGGAGTGGTGGAAGGTCTGAAGCTATCCTGATCATCTTCTGAACTATGTCCACCATGCTCAGGAGAAAAACTTTTCAAATCTATCAGAAAGATGTAGTTTCTAATTAGAACAGGAAAAAACCCTACTCTCTATAATTTTGTGAAATGTGATCAATTATTCTGATACTTACCAACATTTTTAGGTGAGATTAAGAAATGTTTTCCAAAAGTCACATGCTTTTCACTGCTACTTGTTTCACAAACATATTCATTTTGCCTCTGATTTTCTCTATTAGTTTGCATTTCTTCACACTCTTCTGACAGTGAAAAGGGGCCCTTTACTAATGAATAACTATTAGATGTTGGAATGGATATTGAGGTAGCTTTTTCACTGTTACCAGTATCTGGTAATTTGTCGTCAATGGAATATGTCTTCACATCAACTATTGCACTCTCACTCTCTCTTATATTTGTAATAACTGAATTTGAAGAGTCTGTTGTTCTAAATGATTCCTGGTTTTCACTCTCTCTGTTTTCACCATAAAAAGCAGCTGGTGTATTTTCTTCTGATTCCCTTACACTTATACTAGTAGCATCTAAGTCCACTGTATGGATGTCTTGTGTAGTGTGTTCTTTTGGCAAAGATAAATCCCAAATGTCAGACATACCAGTTCTTGAAAAGTTTCCCAGTCCACCTTCGCATCTACTAACTTCCGTTTTTCTAAGGTATTTCTCCATATCAAATGCACTGGATCCATTACTTTTTTCTAAATCATTAGCTATGAAATGAGACACAATGGAAACGTCCTGTTGTTCACCATCTTCCTGAAAAGTCTTCTCTCTGGTTTTATTTGAAAGTGCCTTGATCATGGCAGCAAGTTGGGAAGGATCAGTACTCACTGATGCATCTGCAATCGCTGAAGCAATGGTGCTTATCCTAAGTACAGAATCATCACCATCAGGTAGTTTGCCTTTACATCTTTGGGGTTTGCAATTCATGAAGAAAGTATCCTAGAAATGAGAAAATTTACATCAGATAAATTTACCTCAGTCCATAAACAGGTACATATTAATCATTACTTATAAACTAGAGGCCCGGTGCATGAATTTGTGCATGGGTGAGGTCCCTCAGCCTGGCCAGTGATCAGGGCTGTTTTACTCAGTCCCAATCGGGGCCGACTGGGGCCAGCCAGCCGGGGGGAGGGACCATGGGAGGTTGGCTGGGCCGCTGGAGGTTGGCTGTGGGAGCGCAATGACTACCAGGGGGCAGCTCCTGCATTGAGCGTCTGCCCCCTGGTGAGTCAGTGTGTGTCATAGTGGCTGGTTGACCAGTCGTAACAGTTGCTTAGGCTTTTTTTTTTTAAATATATATATATTTTTTATTTCAGATAGGGAGAGGGAGAAAGAGATAGAAACATCCACGATGAGAGAGAATCATGGATCGGCTGCCTCTTGCACGCCCCCTATCGAGCCCACAACCCAGGCAGGTGCCCTTGACCGGAATCGAACCAGAACCCTTTGGTCCATAGGCCGAAGCTCTATCCACTGAACCAAACCGGTTAGGGGGCTTTTATATATATAGCTGCTAGACAAGATTTAATAGCAGCAAAAACTTAAGGGTATAGCAGTGAAGAATCCTAAAAAAAAAAAAAATAAGACTGCTGCTATCAACTTCAATTGTTGAATACTGAATTACTTATGTAATCTGATTATCAATTGTTAAAAAAAATCTTCAGGAGTAAAAGATGCTAAAAATGAATCAGAAAAATAATTTAAAACCAAAAAATTAAGAAAATAAGATTGAGAAGCCATTGTGACATTGTGACTGCCAAGTACAATTCTTGGTAATTTCATCCAATTGTAGAATTATTTACAGGAGAGACAGAGAAAGACAAGTACCATGTGATTTCACTCAGATGTGGAATCTAATGAACAAAATGAACTAACAAGCAAAACAGAGACTAGAGAATAGCCTGACATCTGGGGGTGGAGGGCTAGGTGGAAGGCTGGAGAAATAGAGCAATAAAGAAAATAAGAGAAAGAACTCATGGATATGGACAACAATGCAGTGATTGCAAGGGGGGCAGGAGATGGAGGGTATAGGGCAGCCGTGGGCAAACTACGGCCTGCGGGCCGGATCCGGCCCTTTTGAAATGAATAAAACTAAAAAAAAAAAAAAGACTGTACCCTTTTATGTAATGATGTTTACTTTGAATTTATATTAGTTCACACAAACACTCCATCCATGCTTTTGTTCTGGCCCTCCGGTCCAGTTTAAGAACCCATTGTGGCCCTCGAGTCAAAAAGTTTGCCCACCCCTGGTATAGGGGGATAAATGGCGATGGACAGAGATTGACTTGGGGTGGTGAACCCACAATACAGTGTACAAATGATGTGTCGAATTATACACCTGAAACCTGTATAATTTTGTTAACCAGTATCAACTCAATAAATTCAAGTTTTTACAAAAGGATTTATAGGCAAGACATAAATAGGAATCATGGATAAAAAATTAAAGTGGGCCGGAACCGGTTTGGCTCAGTTGATAGAGCATCGGCCTGCGGACTGAAAGGTCCCAGGTTCGATTCCGGTCAAGGGCATGTACCTGGGTTGCGGACACATCCCCAGTAGGGGATGTGCAGGAGGCAGCTGATCGATGTTTCTCTCTCATCGATGTTTCTAACTCTCTATCTCTTCCTTCCTCTCTGTGAAAAATCAATAAAATATATTTAAAAAAAAAAATTAAAGTGGAACCAAATAATAGAAACAAACACATTTAATATTCAAAAATGCAAGTTAAGAACTTCTGCCTCCAGTAAGAACAAACTAATACAAACCAATTCTTGCTGAGAGCAATTAGAACTGGAGAGCATATTCAAAGACATCCCTTAAATGGCATTGGAAAGCTTTAAAAAAAAAGAATAAAAAACTATGAGGCCAAAATTCAAAAGGAAGAATCCCAAACAGGTGAGTCCATTACTGGAGATGCTTTCCCTAGGGAATCTGCTGTTTCAAGAGGCAGCTGATTAAATTTCAAGAAGCAGACAAGCAAAGCTGTTCTTACGGGAGTAAGAGTATAAAACCTCAAGTTCAGTATTTGCCAATTATGGCAGGCAGTGACCCTGATAAACATCATAATTTAGGGAGAGACCACAAAGGACTACACCCTAGGAGTCAAAGTAAACAAAAATTAGACTGGCCCTCCTACAGACTGAGGCTCAGTTCTAATGACCTCAACTCAGAAACCAAAGTAAAGTAATCTGAGATTGCTAGAGTTCTTTGCTTCCTTTCAGAAGCAAACATAAATCCTGTCTGGAAGATATCATCCCCCATGACCTCCAATTATTTCAACAACTTTTCCTGTAAAAGTCCACCACTCAATCAATGACACATGATGTTTCAAGATAATGTGGCCCAAGTACAAGAGAAACAGACCTATCGGGGATCCAGAAAATAGTCATCAAAATCCAAAACACATCTGAATCTAAAACATAAAATCTAACATAAACTCTAAAACATAATTAACCCTTTGCGGTCCAATTTTATTTTTGGAATTCAAACAGTCTGGTCCAAATTAATTGACGGGATTGAATGTTGAACCGGTTTGCAGTGTCGACCTCATCCTCGACGTTGGACCTGCTCCTAGCGCCTGGTCTGTCGAGTCATCCTCCACGTTGGGCCGAAAAGGGTTAAGGAAGTAAAAGACAACATTGAGACCCTAGCAGAGGGCTAGGAATTATAAAGAAATAACTAAATGGCCCTGACTGGTTTGGCTCAGTGCATAGAGCATCAGCCTGCAGACTGAAGGGTCCCAGGTTCGATTCCATTCAAGGGCATGTACCTTGGTTGCAGGCACATCCCCAGTAGGAAGTGTGCAGGAGGCAGCTGATAGATGTTTCTCTCTCATCAATGTTTCTAACTCTCTATTCCTCTCCCTTCCTCTCTATAAAAAAATCAATAAAACGCATTAAAATAAAAAAAATAACTAAATGTAAATTTTGTAACTGAGAAATACAATAACAAATTAAGAACCCAATCAATCGAAAACAACTAATTGGACACAACTGAAAAAAATCAGACTTGGAAGAGAATTCTGAAGAAAATATCCAGAATGAACTGTGAAAGAGAAAGTTAATGGAAACTACAAAAAAGAATAGAAAGATGGTTAAAAAAAAGGTATACTCTATAAAAGTCCAACGAAGTTGTAACTGAACTCTCAAAATGGGGTAAAAATATCTATTTAAAAGATATTGGCAGAGAATTTTCTACAACTTGTGAAAGTCAACAAACAAGAATTAAGAAGAAAAAAATTAATATGGAAAAAAATTAAAAAAAGAAGGCCTATGAACCCTGAGCAGGATAAAACAAAAGATACCTAAGCACATCATAGTAAAACGGACAAAAAACAACGAAAAAAAATTTAAAGCAATCAGAAATAAGATACATTACCTTTAGAGAGGTTAACAATAATACTGAAAGCAAACATTTAAAATGAAAAGATGTAAAATAATGTATTCAAATTGCTAAAAGTTGTTCTATGCCCTGACCAGGTGGCTTGGTTGAAATGTTGTCCTTAACATCACCAAAAGGTTGAGTGTTCAATTACCAGTCAGAGCATATGCCTAAGTTAGAGGTTTGGTCCCCAATTGGAGTGTCTGAAAGTCAGACTGATGTCTCTCTCTCTCTCTCTCTCTCTCTCTCTCTCCCTCCCTCCTTAACTCCCCAATCTCTATCCTATATAATAAAAGCCTAATATGCTGTCTGACTATTCGTTCAACCGTTAGACCAGTCGCATGACACGCACTGACCACCAGGGGGCAGACGTTACGATCGGTAAGTTAGCTTGCTGCTGGGGTCCGGCAGATTGGGACTGGGCAAGATGGGCCAGACACGCCCTGGAGCCCTCCCACAATCTGCCGAATCAGGACTGGGCAAGAAGGCCCCGGTCACTGGATCAGGACTGGGTGAGACAGGCCAGACACACTTAAGACTCTTCAGGTGTCACTTTTCAGAACTATGACCATGGTGGTTTGCTTGGTTTGTTTCTTCTTTCCTGCTTTTAAGCAGATAATGCACTATAATCATTCCTCTCTATTAATGAAAACCTTTCGGTGTTGGGGGTCCATGTTTTCAACCTTTATAAGGAGCTTACTGAAGTCTGCAAAAGCTTCTATTAAACCCTTCACTGTGAATTTTCTTAGGGTTTCTTCTTTTTCTTCTCCTACAGTTTCTTTTTCTCTTGCCTCTTCCTCAGCTATACATTCCTGTTCCAGTTCCAACAACTCATTAGTCAATTGCTCAGGAACCAACTCTAGGAGCTCCTCCATGTCATCCTCATCGACACCCGTTAAAGTTGTTTGTCATCTCAATCACAGCCTCATTGGTTTTTGCAACCTCCTCAGCCTTGAGAAAATTCTTTGAAGTCATGGATGAACTTCTTGTCTTTTTCCAAATGCCATTCATACACTCCTTGGTAATATCACACCAAGCCCAAGCAAGGTCTTGATGTTCTAATCCTTCCATAATTGCATCAGTATCTTCCCAGGGTCTTCCTCAGTTGCAGCAAGAGCCTCAGCAAAGGTCCTCCTCCGGTAGTAGGCCTTAAAAGCTGCTGTAACGCCTTGGTCCATTGGTTGGATCAAAGAGGTAGTGTTTGGACAGAGAAACACCACTTTGATTTTGGGGTGAAGAACACCAATAATAGGTTGTCTGAGCGCATTATCAACAATAAGCAAAATCTTGAAAAGTATGTTATTCTCCAAACTGTACTTCTCCATTTCACTGGTATCACAATTCGGGAGGGCGTCTTGGAAAAGGAGCTGGGTTGGGTCATCCATGACTTCTTATTGCTCCTGTAGTACACTGCTCACTGATATACTTGAAGGCTCTGGGGTTCTCACTGTGCCAGATTACAAAGGGCTTCGATTTGAAGCCAGCAACACTGACCCAAAGCAAGACTCTTATCCTGTCCTTATAAGCCCTGAAACCTGACACTGACTTTGCCTCTTTATGGATCAAAGTCCTTTCAGGCATATGCTTTCAGATTAGGAAGGTTTCAGTCATACTGAATATTTGCTCTGGCAAATAATTTTCCTCCACAATCTGCTTATGTAGGGTTTCCAAAAAGTCTTCAGCTGCCTTCTCATCACAGACTCACCACTCACTTTCAGATTATGTAATAAAAATGTTTCTTGAATTGTTCAATGACTCAGAGCTAGCAGTAAATTCAACAATATAGTTCATCCAACCTTGTCTTTCAACATTGCGAAAAAACCTTTTGCTTTGGCCATGGTGCTGAAAGAGATACGCTTCTAAGTCTGGTGTTCAATCCAGGTACTTTAATATTCAAAAACCAATTAATGTAATTCACACATTACCACGGGAGAAAGTGCATGTTCCTCGATAGATACAAAAAAAGCATTTGACAAGTTCAATCTCCTTACAAGTTAAAAACAAAACTAGCGCCCGGGCTATGAGCTCATTTGGGTAGCTCAGTTGGTTAGAGCATCATCCGGATACACCAAGGTTGCAGGTTCGATCCCCCATCAGGGCACATACAAGGAAATCAATAAATGCATAAATAAGTGGAATAACAAATAGATGTTTCTCCTCTCTCTAAAATCAATCAGTAAATTGTCTTTCAAATGGTGGTAAAAATTTTAAAAGACATAACTGAATTTTTTTAAAAAGGCAACCATGTTATACTCAATATTTTTTACATATGACCTTATATTTTTTAATGTTTGTATTGATTTTGAGATAGAGAGAGAGAGAGAGAGAGAGAGAGAGAAATATCCATCAGTTGCTTCTTGTACACACCCTGACTGGGGACTGAACCTGCAACCTGGGCATTTGCCTTGATCTGGAATTGAACCAGCGACCCTTCAGGGCACGGGAGAATGTTCAACCAACTGAGCTACATGGACCAGGGCCACATATGACCTTAACTTGATCTTAGACAAGAACTAACATGATTTTAGCTTTCCTTCATGAAAGGCTTATGATACCTCTGTTTTGCCTTTATTGGCAGTTAATGTCACATCGTTTTCATCCACTTGTGAAATACTCTCCAGTTCTTCCGCCTGAAGTGTAACTGATCCTTCACTTAGTTGTGTATTGGAGTGTTCATTTAAATCTCCTGTAGGAAATATACAATATTCAACTTATATCTATACACTATCTCACAGAAACAATCTGTGGGATAAGGATCACAACATAATTGCCAAGGAAAAATCCTTTTACCCAAATATCAGTCATCTTCACAAAAACTGAATAAAGGTATAGTCACTAAGACAAAGGCCATACCATTGTTAATTTAGCTAAATTCTGCAAACAAATTTGTGGATTTTAATTTCTCCTCTTATAAGCTCATTTAATATTTTTCAGCTTTAAACATTTCACAAATACACAAGTTGAATTTATACTAGCAAAAAACAGCTGTTTGCTCATTGGATGTTAACCAAAAAAGTTTGATTTTAAATATTTATCATAGATATTTATCATACTATAACACAGTCTGAATCTCAAAATACCTCTTTATTTAAAAGTCTACCTAAATAGTAAATATAACAGTTATAATTCATTAACTCAGTTGTCTAATAGGACAAAGTTAACTAACCCATTTGAACAAATTAAATCTACTTTGATTTTTACAAAAGTATTTAGGTGGATTTTGGATGACTTATTTCCAATTTAGATTTAAAAGGCAATGTGGGATTATATAAGAATCAAATGAATAACTAATACTGAAAAAATTGAAGTGGTTCATACATTTTCACTCATTAAGAACATAATCACACAACCATTTAATTTACTCTTTTTTTACAGGTTAAAAAAGAGTTACTAAAAATTCTTTCATTTAATCTATTACCTGAAAATGGATCATGGTTAAGACGAACCATTTCTTTTTCCAAATCACTTTGTGATAAATCAGATTTTCTTATTAAAGCAACAGGTTCTCTCTCTTCTGGTGATCTAATAAAATAACCAAATGATGGCTACAAAATAAACATATGAATTATTTCCTTCATTTTCAACTGCTTTGAGAAATTCTAACTACTTTATCTTAATATTGGTAACCTAGCTAAATGATTTCAACAAATATTTTTTTCTTTCTATTTAAACTTAAATGACTAGTGATGAACTTAAAAGTCCACATAGAACCTTTTATTTCCTTACTGCCAGCTATCTTTAATCATCAGAACTAATATGGTCAAGTAACTAGTTGCCCTCACTAAGAAATCCAAATTAAAACAACCCAGAAATGACACTTTGTTTGTTCCTTCAGTAATTATTATTGAACTAGTAGCCTGGTGCATGAAATTCGTGCACATTAAAAGGGAATTAATTACTGGAGATATTTTAATATTGCTATTGGCCCTTTCACTATAATAGAAGTGTGAGAGATGAAAGGAAATTAGTAAAATGTATATGAAAATAATAAATTTATTAATAAATAAACAGTAACAAAAGGATATAACAACAGAGGCATGATATAAAAACAACAAAAACATGATATGAAAACAACAAAAACAATAATACTGTTGGGCCTGCGAATGATGTTATCAAGTATCCAAAAGGCCCTTGGCAGAAAAAATGGTTCCCCACCCCTGATAAAAATAGTCTCCATTTACTGGGAAGAACCTCCCTCCAGATCTTTTGGTGACTGCCTCCTTCTCTCTCATCATTTAGGTCCCAGATGTCACCCCGACTACCACAGCTAAAGCATCACCTTATCCTTACTCATTCTTCACAGGACCTATCATTATTGTTTGCATTTTTAATTTTTTACATCTTATGAAACTGAAATACTCCTATATTTCAAAATATGTTTTTAAACAACAGGTTAAAAAAATGAATCTTTAAGTTCTTCCCACCAACCAATGATTATAACCATAGTAACTAACAGGTATTGATATTACCGCATGTTAGGTTTGGTGCTAAATACTTCACATGCAACATCACATTTAATTCTTACAAAACCCTGTAAGATGGCATTCCATTTTAGAAATTGGAAAATTAAGGCATAGAGGAGTTAAATAAATTGTTCCATGTCATAGAACTGGTTAAAAGGCAGACCTAGGACTGGGTCAAGGTCTGACCAACTAATAAATCTAAGCTTTTATCCACTATTTTAACATGTTCCTATTCTGTCTCTGCTTTAAAGATACTACTATGCTCTAGGTATACCATCATAACATTCAAAATATAACAGCTAGTCAATTTAACCGGTTCCAGTACATATCATACTTACTCTTTTCACACTGTAACCACCACCAAGGCAACCAAGAGCTTCAGATCTCTGAGCAAAGAACTCTCCCAAAGAGAGACGTAAATAACTGGCATCGTCTTTGTTCAAATCTGATGTGCTAAGTGATTTCCTCAACAAATTGTAATTAACTGAAGTTCCCCACGACGTATCCCTTAGTGCAACTGAAGTATTCTGGGCATCTATATTTTCTTCCTAGGAAGAAAGTTATTATTTCACGTTATTTCCCCAGCAAGCCTTCTTTCTGTTTTTCTCATATTTAAAAAAAAAAAAAAGAAAGAAAGAAAATTTAATTTTTTTAAAATGTGGACAAATTCAACCTTAAGCAGCAAATACAGGTAATGAAGTCCAGAAGAAGAGAACTTCATTTTACATACTTTGAGTTATAATATACAGTTTTAATATGTTGCTTAATCAAACACTGACTTTCATTAATATAAATCTTTAGAAAGGAACATATTTTCAATAAAAACAAATAGCATTACCTCATTTTAAAATATGGTTAAAAACTGGAAATATCTTTGAAGACTATTAAGTTGATTTTAAGCAAATTAAATATTATTTCAGTATGCCAGTTATTTTTTCAATCAATAATTTTGAGTGTAAAGAAAAAAGCAGAAATTGTCTAAATATGAGGAAAGCAAGATAAAATTCTATACTAACCATATATCTATTCAGATAGGAATAAAAATTTTGCTACATTTAAATTAATACAGGAAAAATTTTAAACTTTGGTTAATGCCCATAAAATACAAACCTGCATAAATTGGTGCTCTTTATTAAATTCTTCTTCATCTTGTGCAATCAACTCCAATGCCTCAGCTTAAAAAGAATAGGTGTATAATATTATATAATGCCAATTAGATACTAGCATATAAATAAAACATAGCTAGTTAGGAAAATGAAATACTAAAGAAATAAAAAATTTAAAAGGTATGTGAAAGCTTCTCTCACACAATTGATGCATCTGCATTAAGTACATAGTCTATGGTACTCAAACTTTTGGTAATAGACACCCTACTGTGATTGATTTAATCAGTTATTAATGTGCCCTAACTCACTAAAGGGGGCTTTACAATCTAAGATTTTTGTTTTTAAAAGACTCATTAATTTTAGCTTTAAAGATCTGGTACACTTGAGTTAAGGTACCCCATGAACACCTGGTATTTCATCTGGAACTAATGGACTGACAAGCCATTCTGTAGGCTCATCATGAAGATGTCTGCTGGGTTGCCCAACCACCTGTTTTGTCCATAACTGTCCCAGTTTTAGAGAGGAGAAATCCTACATCCCAGCAAATCCCACAGCCTGAGCAAACAGTAACAAGAGGTCCCGCGGTGTCTGTTCTCAAAGTTCCTATAAGCACCTCGATTCACCTTAGGGTAATGAATGGGTCTGAATCAACCCCTAAGCCAAGGCCACAAACTAAAATGCCTCAGAAGCTAGGAGTGAATGAGCAAAGAGGGTGAGGTGTAACACAATACAGAGTGGTGGGACAGTGGCAAACTAGAAAGCCACTAGTTTAATGCTCCTGCTCCAGACAGTAGAATTAAAAAGAATTTTACACATATTGGCTAAATCAGAAAAGGCTACAGGCTAAACTCTAGGCTGCCTGCCTGTTGCTTATCCTGGGCCTTTGCCTGGTATTTCAAAATAGTAGCAGAAAGGGGAAGAGTCAATAGCAACCAGAAGGGACAGTCCACAAGAAGGGTATCTCCCACTCTTACAGATCCATCAAGGGCTAATCCAATCCAAACTGCCCTTTTGAAAATCCTCACAGTCCCAGATTAACACCTTGAGACAAAATGAGAATAGATACAAGAGAATATTTCTAGTTAGGAAAAGTACAGCACCAAAGATAGGTCAAGATTCTTACTTGTTAAAATAGTGCTGATTCTTTACCTTTCTTTTATATAAGCACATTCTAACCTAGAGGTATAAATAAGCATCAATGGAACCATGAAGCTCCCGAAATCATATGCTAAATTTTCCACATAAAAAATTTTCTATGAAAATTCTCTGTGGGGTACCATAAGTTAAAAAACCACTGCCCAGCTCTAGCCGGTTTAGCTCAGTGGATAGTGTCGGCCTGCAGACTAAAGGGTCCCGGGTTTGATTCCATTCAAGGGCACATGCCGGGTTGCTGGCTCGGTCCCCAATAGGGGGCATGCCAGAGGCAGCTGATCAAAGATTCTCTCTCATCATTGATGTTTCTATCTCTCTCTCCTTCTACCTTCCTCTGAAATCAATAAAAAATATTTTTAAAAATTAATACAATAATTCATGTAAATACGCACACAAAGGATCAGTACATAATAAGTGCTCAATAAAACATGGCTTTAAAAAACAAACAAACAAAAAAACCATTGCCCTGCTTGGCAGGTGTGGCTCAGTGGTTGAGCTTCAACCTATGAACCAGGAGGTCATGGTTCAATTCCTTGTCAGGGCGCATGCCCAGGTTTTGGTTCAATCCCCAGTGAGGCTGTGCAAAAGGCAGCCAATCAATGATTCTCTTTCATCATGTTTCTATCTTTCTCTCCCTTCTTCTCTGAAATCAATAAAAATATACACATATATATTTTAAATGATACCACTTTAAAAATTGAGATAAAAACCACCACTGTCCTAAAATCAGAAAGTATAAACCAACTAAATCTAACATCCAAGAGAAGGAGGAAATCAGCCCATAAGAAGGTAACTCAGAAACCTATACAGTCTTATTAACTAATGTCACCCCAATAAATTTATTTTAAAAATAAAATTTAATAAAACTCAAAAGTTCATTTTGAATAAATATCACATTTTTTAAAGTATACAGCTCCAATTGCTATTTATTATATTCCTAAGCATTTTTTTCTCTGAACTTTGAGATTCTTCAGTTAAAAATCTGTAGTAATGTTCATCAGAAATTAGTCACTAATTATGAGAAAGCAGAACTGCATTTTTTGAGTCTATGCCCAATTGTTTGTCATATCTAAAACAAGAGTCCTTTCAAATGTCACCTGAAAGTTCTAGTTGTTAAATTTTGAAGCAGGCCTCAGTCCTACTCCCCCACCCCCTGCCTAGTGTTTAAATCCAAGGCCATAAATAGAAGTAATGTACATAGTACCTCTGATATATGGAACTAATGAAGAGGACAGAAATGGGGAAGAGTAGTAGTATCTCAAGTAAAGTTTCTGAAAAAGTTTATTAAATAGGTAAGTTTTCATTTAAAATGACTTTGATATTATAAAAATTATGCCCTTGGTCCATTCTTCCTCTGCTGGATATCTCTTACATTTTCAAATTCCCTTCCCTATTCCTATTAAAAGGCTCCCATTTTATTCATATGCTCCACTGGCCCTGGTTCCCTTTGATATAGTTCATCCTTTCTTTTCTTCAAATTTAATATTTTTCCATATTCATTTTCTCCATTTCCTCACCACCCAATATTAGTCATTCCACAAGTAAGCTTTCCTTAAATTCCTCCATTATCTATTTATTTTTTCCTTTAATAGAACGCGTTCACATAGTTCGAAATTTAAAAAGTATATGTATGCATACTATGCTGCAATGAAGACTTTTAAAAAGTTAACCCCAAAAAATAAATTAAATTAAATAAAAAAAATAGTTAAGCCCTAACCAGCTTGGCTCAATGGATAGAGTGTCGGCCTGCGGACTCAAGGGTCCCAGGTTCGATTCCGGTCAAGGGCATGTACCTTGGTTGCGGGCACATACCCAGTAGGGAGTGTGCAGGAGGCAGCTGAATTGATGTTTCTTTCTCATCGATGTTTCTAACTCTCTATCCCTCTCCCTTCCTCTCTATAAAAAATCAATAAAATATATATTTAAAAAAAATAGTTAACCAGAAAATGTAAAAGGGAATAAATACTGAAACGTCTCCACCACATCCCTGACCCCACTCACCACACCTCCAGAAGCAACCAGTGTGTAAAGTACCCCTAAAACACCTCGCTACTTGATTTTTGAGTTTAAGTAGCTAGAGATTCCTACAATCCATTTCTTTTTTTAAATCTCTCCACTATATGCATTTACAAATACATGTGTGTCCTCCCCTCTTCCACCTTTTTACACAAATGCTAGAATATTTTACATGGCTTTTTATGTCTTGGATTTTAAACAGTTTATTTTGGTGACCATTCCATATTAGGACTTAACAAGCTCCTTTACCTTTTTTATAGCCACAGGGAATTTCCTTGCAGGGATGTACCTTACTTAATCAGCCCCCTTTTTTGCACATCCATGTTGCTTCCAAATTTTTGTTATTATAAACAATGTACAAATAAAAACACTGCACATACATTACATACCATTCATGCAAGTGTATCTGAATAACAATAAATTCCCAGGAGAACTGCCTGGTTAAAGAATATATACCTTTGCAATTTTGTTAGATGCTGCAATATTGCCGTATCTAGAGGCTGCTAAACGACCACATTTATTTCCTTTTCTATAAATTCTGTGTTTACATCCCTTGCCTAATTCTATACTGAGTAGTTGGGTTTTTTGTTGTTTATTAAAACTATTAACATTTTAGGAAAATGGACCCTTAATCTGTAATATGAATTTAAAAATTTTTGTTTGATGAGTAATTTTTAAAAATTTTCTTAAAGCATAACACACCTATGAAAAGTATATGCCAGTGTACAACTCAATGAATTTTCACAATCTGAACATGCATGTAGCCATATCAACATCCCAGATCAAGAAACAAAATACTGACAACACCCAAAAGGCCCCTTGAGCGTCCTTCCTGTCACTACATGCCTGTCCCAGAGTAACCACTACCCTTGCTTCTGACTTCACAGAGCAGATGTTTGAACTGTATACAATAGAATTATAGTATGTATTTTTAGTCAGCCTTATTTTATTCACCATATTTGTAAAATTTATTCATGTTGCTACAAGTGGCTACACATCATTCATTCCCATTGCTACACAGCATTCCAATATATGAATAAACACAATCCATTCCATTGTTAATGGGAATTTCGAAGTTTCTAGTATAGAGCGAATACATACAGTGCTGCTATAAACATTTTGACATATGTCTTTGGTAAATTATGTACACTCCATATACTGGGTATATAGTGGGTCATAAAGTGTGAATTTCATAAAATTCATCTTTACTAGATTCTGCCAAACAACTTTTCTAAATGGTTGTATCGATTTACATTTCCCACCAGCAACACCTAAGAATTCCATTACCATTGACTTAAGTGACAAAGGCAATATCCACTGTCCAGTGTGTCTTTTCTAAATCAAGACATCATTGAGCAAGGCCTAACAGTAACCTAACCTCCCATTTCCAACTCGTTTCCAACTACCAAATATTCCCAGCTCAAACCACAATCATCCAACATTCTACAGTTTATTCTGATTTCCCCTATCTCAGTTAATAGTACTGGCATTTCCCCAAAAAAGATCACAAACCTCAATCCTTTCTCGACTCTCTACCAGCAATTGGAACCCAGTCAAAACCCTAACCATTCTACCTCCATGTCTTCATTAGCTACTTTCTTTTCATTCTCACAGTGACACCTATGTTTCTATATCCTAAAGAATCTCCCATTCCCCCTTTCCATTTCTTGCCATAAATGCCCACACTTTCTCATCTCATTCTCTTTCAATGGGTTTTCCATCCATTTGGAATTCTCATGCCCCCAAATATTCACATGTTGAAACTCTATCTCGAAAGCCTTCTGTTACCCCCTCAAACAAGTTATTTCTCCTAAAACTCCAAAGCATTTGTCCTGTGTTTCTCTGTGATTGCTAAATGTTGTTTTGTATTTTTATTTTACCCCTTTTAGCTGATGGATGGTTTCTTACGGGCTGAAAAAAAAATGCCTTATCTCTGTAGTTCCACATCATCAGATGTTTAAGAGTTCAGCACAAGCAGCAGTTAGAAAAACTTTTCTCTGGCACCTTCTGAGCTTATTAAAAATAAGACTGGGCTTCCGGGCCACTGCATGCTTTTCTCATCCCGTTTAGAGGTGTTCAGGGTCCAGAGCCGCAGCAGCCCAGCAACATCTCCGCAGACTAAGACAAAATGCCATGATTCTGCAGACCTACCAGTTTCCCTTTCACTCTCAGAGATTCTGCTAATCCACAAACCTAATTTATGTTCCTAATATGTTCATCCTTTGAGATTTTACATATTTTCTTCATTGCTTTTTTTCCCATCATTTCTACCACACTTCTTAGCTTTTACTACAAAATGGATTGACTTTTCTAACTGCTCACTTATCAGAATAGTTCTTTTGTTCAAGACAGATTTTAAAAAGTAAGAAAGTAAAGCCTCCTAATTTTGCAATACAATAAAGGTTCTAAATTGAAGAGACTGCTGGTCTAATTCACTGTCTTTAAGAAAAAGGCTCAGCTCACTCTGCAATGTTTAGCACTCTTTCAAGCCTTTATTCCAATAAAAACAAGTGAAGAGCTAAGTACTGTATATTCCAGAAAGGATCTGATGTGACCAACCATCAGAAACAATGAAAATGGTACAATAATGTGGTTAGCGATATCCACTTACAACCAGTTCTGAATTCTTCATTCATTTCATCCACTGGAGGCATATTTAAATCTTGTTCTTCATTAAAAGATGTATAATAAGCAAGGTCAGTGACCCATCTACCTTCTTCATTTTGATAAACCACATTCTGCGGTGGATCAGCTTCTAAAAAATAAAATTCCAAAAATATCCAATGATACATATAACAAATAAAATTATAAAATATCCTTAAATAATGTTAGTTAGTTAGTTGCCTTATCTTAGCTATCAACAGTCCTAAAATTTGCCCACAACTAGTTAGAAAAAGGAAAATTAATTTCCCCCAAAGAAAAATATCTCTCTGATAAGCCAGCCTTAATTACAGTAAAAGTATCTAATGGAGAATTAGGGGAAAAGGAAAAGAAGACTTAGAAAGGTATATTTCTACCAGATCTGTGAATAAAGATACCATTTTATGTTATTTACTTATTTACAGTGAAAATTTTTTATATTTAGAATTAGCTAGCTCAGTGGTTGGCAACTGCGGCTCGTGAGCCACATGCAGCTCTTTGGCCCCTTGAGTGTGGCTCTTCCACAAAATACCACGTGCGGGCGCGCAGGTACAGTGCGATTGAAACTTTGTTGGCCCATGCACAGAAGTCGGTATTTTGTGGAAGAGCCACACTCAAGGGGCCAAAGAGCTGCTGGGGCTCGGGAGCCGGAATTGGCCGGAGCACTGAGCAAAATGAACTCACTTTATTTTTATATATTTATTTAAAAGAGAGGATATTTCATTTTTT